GTTCAGCCTGCATGGCCTGCATTGATGCTGCTGTGCAAAATGTTGTTCCTGTGTGAAGCTCCAGCGCTGCTCTATGGGAATAGAGTTGTACAGTGGGGAAGGCTTGGGTCCAGGCTGATTATACATGGATTTTCTTTTTAAAGAACAACTAGATTTTGCTTGGGGCAGTGACGTACAAACACAATCAGCTGTGAACAGAACAGCTGAGGCAGTTATTCCATTTGATTTCTGCTGCAAGGTGGGGATCCTCTCATCCCATTCCCAGGTGTAGCCTCACACTCTCAAGGTCAAGTGACTCGGTGTGTTATGGCAGGAGGAACCAGGTGGCTGCTGTGGGGCAATGGGGTCTGCACGGGTGAGCAGTTATAATGGGCGCAGGTTGTAGGGGCAGCACTAGACCTGACTGGTTAGAGGCATTTTTGTTTTGATGTTGCTCTTCAGTTGGTTTTTTTTTTTTCTAACTTTATTTGACTCCAAACATTGCTTTTTGCCATGTGCAGGATGATGCCTCCGTGAAAGGGATGCTCGTCCAGGCAGCCTGGCTTGGTTTGATGGCTCAGGCTCTAGAAGAGACACTAAAAGTGACGTAGTTTGGCACTTGTGCCCTGCCCCGGGCTCTTCTTTCTCATCCTGTTTTTCTTCAGCAATCACTGCGGATCTGTGCTGTTGTCTAGGATGGCATAGTTTACCCTATAGCCCCCACCACCCCTGAGGGACACTTAATGGTGGTCATGCTTCTTGTCCTACTCTCAGTACAGCTCTGCCTAAAAAAATCCATGGCAGGCTGTTACACAGCATCTCCATTCCATCCCTCTTACTGCTCTTGTTCCCCTGAAATGCTAAAGGACATTTGATTGAAAACTTGTAAGAAAAAAATATTAGCAAACTAGATTTAAACCTTCATTTTTTTCATGGTTGGCTTTGAAAACTCATAATCTTCGTTCTCTTGGGCTTGGGGCTTGTCACATGAACCTGCGCCGAGATATTCAATTATTTAGCATCCTTTTAAAAGAAAAGGTAATGCATGCAAGAGAGATGTAAGATCTGCTCTGATGACCATCCCTGCAGCTGGGACTTTAAAAGAACATTTTTATCAGGGTGCTTGCTCTTGTGGTGCAACCATTGCAATTCTACCCAGGAGACAATTCCCATGTTTTCTCAAGGGACGATTAATTGCTTTTGCAGGTAAGCATTTCGAACCACCCAAGAGCCTTGCCACCTTCCTCTCCTTACGTGAGTTACTACAAAACCATTTTTCACTTTCTCACAATGGTTGACATTCTTGTTCCCCAAGCTTGACCTCCTGGGCATACTTACTTACAGGGATAGATTTCAATATAGCATCTTACCCAGTTTTATTTTGATCTGTTCCTCTCCCCATAATCTCTGGCACAAAGGAGAACTTCATTTGAAGTACAAAGCAGTCTGCCAGGAATGTAATGTAGCATTCAAAACCATAGTAAATAATTGAGAAACGCCACACAGGAGAAGTATTTTAAATTATTTTGGTCTCAAGTAATTTTGTTTGACTGTGGTGTGGAATGAGGATGGTGAGAGAGACCTCCTTAGAAGTGGTGATGCTAACCACAGCAAACAAAAACTATTCAGCTTGGGCATATTTCCTCAGAGCTGGCAAACCAGAAGTATTGTCTCTACTTTATGGATACAGATCTCCCAGTAAATACAGTGTAGAAAAAGGTGCAATTCTCTTGTAAAAACAAAACAAAACAAAAAAACCAAACCAGATTTACTACCACGGATTTCTGTCAGGAGTCAGAAAATTGCACATGCAGCCTAACTAATGTCTTGGGGTTTGGGGGTTTTTTCTTTTTTTTTTTTTTTCTTCAGTATAAGACTAGGACCTAATTGACCCATGCTTACATCTAACTTGTTTTGATTTTTTTGGGATTCTGTTGGATTTTGAAATCTGGACGCTGAGTGCACTGTTCTAGGACATTGTGTCAGGCATTTGGATAAAGAGTTCAACTTGTGTTTGTTTACGGTGATATTAGATGTTAAGAGGTTTATCCTGATGCTGGCTTCTTTGCCAAAAGCTCAGAATTCAGAGATGACCCTGTGTTTCATGTGGCTCAGCGGACAGAACCCAAGCCTGGTTCTACCTGTTATTTCTACTTCCGTCACAGGCATACTCAGTGGATTAAAAAAAAGGTTTCTCTGTCTGTAAAACGTGGATCAAGAAACCTCTATCTTGGAGAGAGCATGCTTCCAGCAGGATTGCTGAAAATACTGTGCCATTGTTACCATGCTGGTACTTTCTGAGTGTTTGGGTGTACGGATGTGCCAGTGGTCTCCTATGCAACCCTATTGTGCATTAGCTGTTGCAATCAAAGTGTGTTTCCCTTCTCTTTAGTCTTGTACCTGAAGTATCTGCAGTCTTGTACCTGAAGTATCCCACAGGTCTACAGCCCTGGGATAAACAAGAGGCCGGAGCATGTGCTGTAGACACTTTGGGCCCTTTTGAGGTCAAGGACAAATTTTTGACTTGCTCAATTTGTTTTCATCCCATCTGCAAAATGGTATTGGTGACACTAGGCACTCTCTTGGCACCCTGTCAAAAAATAATAATTAGGAAAGATGTCTGGCTTGGTATGAGGGGAGCTTTGTAACTTTTAGTTGACCACAGATGAATACAGTGTCGCCACATTGTGAAAAATCATCAGTTTTGAAATCCTATTTGTTATAAATAGATGTATATCATGGAGGGAGATTAGGGTAACTTGATGTCCATGCATCAATCTTTGGCGCTGCTTGTAATGGCAGAGGAAGGAAGAGCTTTCCCAAAGCTGTTGAGAGAATGTGTGGCTTCGCGTTGTTTGGTGCGTGTTGTTCCTCCTCTGAGCCTCCTAGGAGGGGGAATGTCTTTTGGTAGGCTCTAGAGGGACTCAAGAGAGCTGACCTGCCTGGATCTAAAAGTCAGCCTTTCAAAATTGAACCATGATCACTTTCTTCTTATAAATGTGTTTGGTAACAACTTCCATGGGAAGTTTTCATTACTGGTCAATTAGCAAAACTAAAAGCCATCTGTTCAATTTTGTCTACAAAGCAATGTGTTCAGTAGCTGCTGCCTTTCCTGCACCCTGTCTGGAATCTGGTGTATGAATTCAGTGACTCCACTAAAGGGGAGACAACGCTTGAGATTTAATGGTGTGGCTGTTTCTTCCTTTTTTTTTTTTTTTTTTTTTTTAATATTTGTTGACAGCTGTTTTCTTTGGCAAGTGTTCTTAACACTTTGTTCCTCAACAAAGGAAGAAGCCCAAGTGTCTTCTATATAACTACAAGGAAAGAACACCACTTCCACCATGTGTGGACCTCTTCCTCTCACACCGGTGGCAGCAGAAGGCGTGCTAGTCTGACCCCACCGTTAAGTGAGAAGGCGGCTGGGAATCTGTACATGTAAAGAGTTAGTGAAGCAGTGGAATAGTACTTGCTGTATTTACACAGTTGCTGTTTTACATTAATGAATGCTGTTCAGGAGGAAATGAAAATCTTTCTAATGGGATCTAAATGAGACGAGCAGCTGAAGGTAGTTTCCTGGAATGGAATTAGATCCGACTGTTGGGATTTAACACACTCCGTTTTGCCAGAAGTGCCGTAAGATTATTAAAGCGTCACAACCTCATTTAATTGCTTTGTAATCTGCTCTAGTATGTTTCTCTTAACCTTCATGCTGATGAGATGGTTGTGTAACAGACACTGAAGGCCAGACCTTGTGTTGCTTCAGTGCATGGGAGCCCATGCCCAGAGATCCCAGTGAGCCCAGGTGGGAATGCTGGCTGCAGCATTTTCACTCTTGAGGTTATGTGGAAAGGTTGCCTTTGGGCTGCGGGTAGCATCCCTGAGCGCACAGAGATGTACCCTAAAGGTTACTGTATGCTGCTACATCTTGTCGCTGAAACACTCCTGCTTTCAGGGAGCCCCATGACAATTCTCTTGACAGGGGTACTGGTCAGCCCTTTCTTCTTCTGTACCTAAATTCTGGTTGCATATGAAAGTGTGTGTGGCTGCTGTGAAGGAGGCGTTTACTGTTTTCATTAAATGTTTCCATTAAGTTAAAGGGTTTTTTTCCTCAACAGGAGCGATCATTGATCCAACTTTGATCAAAAGAGGCATTTAGGTGACAGGGGAGAGCCCTTGCCTAGCTTTTTAGAGGGATGAAACATTGCATCATCCATGCTGCTTGCATGCCCCTGTAGATTGGGAGCACTTTTTGGGTGCTCGCTAAACTGTGGCAGGGAAATATGGCTGAGGAATGTCTAGCTTAAAAACCCAGCAAAAGTTTGGCCGTGACCTAGCGCTCCGAGGAGCCCTGCGATGGCTGCCTGCGTACTTGTCCCTGGTGGTGCCGACAAGCAGCGGCTGTCGTGCTGAGGGGCTGGGGGGAGAGGCTCTGTCTGGAGTTCAGTGGCGGGAAAGTGGTGCACTTCGGTGTGCGACTGGAATTTGTAGAGTTCAATCCCTAAGGTTACCTTTTAGGACAGTTTTCAAAGTTATCTATGTGATTGAAAGTAGGTGCCTTTTCTGCCATGTTTGTGTGGGGGTTTTTTTTGTTTGGTTTTGGGTTGGTTTTGGTTGTTTTTTTTTTAAATTCCATCTCCAATGAAATCAAAGCCAAAAGTATTTTTCTCATTTTAATGTTTTAATGGGGGGAGAAATGCTTCACCTGTTTAGATGCTTCAAAATTCTGCATAGTCTACTTGCACCTTTAGTTGTCTCAGTAGCTTCATCCTTGTTCTCCCCCCTCCCCCGCCCAAGCCCAAACTCCGCTTAGGCATGGTGTAGGGCTCATTTGTTAAAGTGTTTAGATCTCGGCTCCCACCGAAAAAACCCAGCAGTTCAAAGTGGGGAAATTCCCCAGGTCATCTGTGAAAACTGCAGTCCTTGCTGGCATGTACCAAGTATTTCAGGCCCCTTCTCAGTTCTGCTCCTTTGCTTCATCAGTAAGTGTAAAATAACTATCTTTAGACAAAACCAAAGCATGATTTATTTTGCATTTGCTTCTTTATTCTACAACACAAGCAACATAAATAGTTTATAATTTTTGTTTTAAAATAGTTCCATTTCAGAATTCAGTCAGAATAAAATATACACAAAATACAATTTGCAAGCCAGCTGACAGTGACTGCCCGACCACTGGACACCCAAGGACCAAACAACGCTAGCAGCACAACAGGACGCGGTGGACACGGGGAGGTGTTTTTCTAAAGAGCAGAAGGGTAGGGGGAGGAAAGATGGATGAGACCAGGGAATTGCAGCTAGGTATGAGCTCAGTAGAAGGTAAACCCAATGTAAGCACTCGCTTGGCAAGGCGATTTACAGTCTCTCTTAAAAAGTATTAGTGGCTCCTCCTGAATATACAGCTAGAGAGATGAAGTCCTGGGAATCATGTTTTGTGGTAAAATGCTTCCTATGGCAGCCATCATCATGGAAATAAAATTTGATTTTTTTTCATTTTTGAACAGGAAAGGATTAGATCTTTGGCAAAATGGAGCGTCCACTCCCTTTGGCTTGCTTTCAGTTTTCAGTTCTGGTTGAAGGGCCCATGGAAGTATGTTTGCCGTCTCACAAATAACGACAAAAAAGGGATGGGGGAGAGAAAGTGAGGGGAACTGAAAGAAGGTGCTTGCTGCTGTCATTGCATACTTTTCAATCTCTTGCTCCCATCTGCTCCAGCAAACAACGTGCAGTACAGGGCTCTGTCGCCACGGTGCTCTGCCCTTCCTGGCTGTTCTCCCTTTGGCATCAAATCCTGCTTTCCTCTGCGGAGCAGGGGACTCAGGAGCCACAGCCTGCTTGGGGAGGTGGTTATCTGTCCCTTGCTTCAACCTGTGTACCTGTGCCTCTCCGCTAGCTCAGCTCTCTCGTTTCAGCTTGCTTCTTGTTGGAAGCATAGCACTTCACTGCGGCCCAGATGAACCAAATGCATGGATAGGAAATGGGGCTTCGGTGCTCCATGGTATTTAGATGAAATGTATGGAATTACATAACTACCTTTTGAAAAGGGGGACGTTGGGGTAAAAGGATTGAACTACATCCTGTTGCCATGTTTCTTAACAGAATTGCCCTCCATAAACTCAGTTCCCCCATTCAATGTGGCAGTGGAGACTATGCAAACCTCAACTCGCAAATTTGCCAAAAATAAAGAGGATTTGAGGGATCTGGTCCCACAGGCGAGCTCGTTATTGCATTAATCCAGGATCATACAGTGTAGCTCTACCAACAGCCACAGAATTAGGGCATTTCTTCTTCCCTCTGCTTTTAGTTCTTAGCTTGGAGACCTCTGAGCACTAAGTGGAAAGACTGATGCATACTTATGCCACATGCTTCTATATTTTTTTCTTTTTAAATAGCCAGCCCCCCATGTTTGGCCAAAGCTGTACGATATGATACAGTTAGTGTCACATATGAAGGATGTGTTCTGAGGGGGATTAGTGGAAACAACAGAAAGAGGAGCTATGACTTCTTCCTTGCAGCTGTACAACTTCCTGGAGTCCCAGATGCGTTGCTGGTGAGGGCTGCTAAGAGACCCTTACGTTGTATCCCTAGAGAAGCTCTACTCAAAAAGGGAAGTTCAGTGAAGAGGGATCTCTAGCTGCTGGATGCTGTTATCTACAGTGCATAAAATCCAACATTTGTGCTTCTGTGCTATGGTAACTTGGTCCTTTTATACTGAAAAAGAAGAGGAACTTTTTTTTTTTAATGGTATTGCATCATTTCTTCAAACAATTGTGGAATGATCAGAAAAGGAAAAAAACCTAACTGTATTTCGTGTCATATGCCATGATTAGCACTATACATAGATCTTCCCAGAAATGACTATAACCAGAGTAACGAGTAAATAGCTTGCTTAAACTTAAACTTATCACACCCCTACAAAAGCAAGGGTGAGGGAAGAAAGGACTTAACTTTTTTTTTTTGGTGAATTAAAAACTATTTATCACTGAGTAATGGCATTTCTAGAATGGATTGCTAAAGGTGAAAATAGCCAAACCACATGCTCAATTTCTAAACAAGCTTCTACACAGAAGAGCTAGGTAGAAATAAATTACTTTGGCTTGCTATGGTCAGCCTCCTACATGTCAAAACTGGATCTGTGCAAAAGTGAAGGTTCTAGTTTTGGGGCGCTGGGATGTGTGGGAATACGTGCTGGTTCTTGTCGATTTTTTAAGCAGGAGGTGTATAGCGGCCAGCAGCAGAGAGGGTGACATCAGGAACTGTACAGGACTTTCCCTTTCCTGAGAACTTGTGAACCTGTATGCAGGGATTGAAGGATTCAAGGACTGAGTCCTGAGTATTAAAGATATCCAGGTCCGTAACTCACATTGATTTCAACAGCTCAGGCACTCTGAGTGTGGGCCTAAGCTGTGGAGAGAGGTACAAAGTGCAGGCAGCACACGGAGCTGGACCTCTCTACTTGCTAACTCGTTTGCCACTTGGTTTCATACTGGTGCTGCGCCAAGCTCTGCAGTGGAGATACCAACACTGAGATGCCACTGTATCAAGTGCAGATGGAGATTACATATGGTAACACAAGGTATTTAGAGGTGGGGGTTATATCTTCGGCAGGTGAGGATTTGTCAGTGAATTTTCCAGTAAGGTTTAGGTTTCAAACAAAACTTGAAGCTCAAATTGGAAGGCAAAGTACCTTACAAGTCATGGGTGTAGACTCTGCTTGGCCTTGACATGAGCCAGCTATAGTCCAGAGGACATGAATTTTTTTATCTGTGATGAGGCAAAAGCTGTGTTGCCTGTGCTTGGAGTTTTACAAGGAAAGTTTTGCCCAGGTCTATGTAAACCTTTCACTAATAAGTCTTTCTAGATGCTAAATTAAGTCAGTTATTCTCAAGTGAGTGTTTATCCCTAGGAGAGTATTAAATCTGTATCTTAATATCTTAAAGACATGAAAGCATGTTAACCAAGAGATAGGGGTGGTAATTCTATGGCTGCTGAGCGCTCAGAAGAGACTACTGTGGGGAAGTTACCGGAACAACTGTGTCCACCTTTGCTGATGTGACGCAAATATTCAGAGAGCATGATAAACATACTACTAATGTGGATATTGGTCTGTAAATATGCAGTATGCTCTGAGTATGACAGTGACTGGAGCTACAGGAATCTATACATAAACACATCAATCATCTCATATATCTGCATATATTCACCCTACAGAATAAAGTGCAAACATATGCAGTGGCCTGAAACCGTATCAATTGGGGTCAGACCCTGCTCTTGTTATACAAGAAAAGTAGCACTTCCCTGATGAGTATGCTGCTTTTTTTCAGCTTTAAATATTTGCATGGTGACGAGCTATTCCATGTGAGTAAAGGTAGTTGATGCTGGCCAACAGCAACTTTCTCTGTTAGTGGCTGCCTGCAAGATTTTAAAATGAGATGTCGTTGCCTCTGATTGCTGTGGTGGCCCTGAGGAGGGTGGTGTGAACTAGGCAAAGGCAACAGAGGTGCAGCTGTGGTACCTGAGAAGGATGCCAAACCGTCACACCCTTTTTTTTTTTTTAAGCAGTTCAGTTAAATAAAAATAACTGGCCAGCAGTTCAACAAAAATCAAACCCCACTCCTACAGAATTTATGTGACAAAAAAAGTAAGTAAGTGCAAGAAAAGAGAAGAATGTGGTCATTAACCAGAGCAAAGAGAAAGAGCAAGCTCCAGCTACAATACACAGACTGGTTTTTCAAGGCTCAGATGTTCTGATTCAATAGTAAAGCTGGTAATGTGCTGCTGTTAGCTCATGCATTACGTTATGGGGCTATAAGTAAGCATTTGAATGGGTTGTGTGAGAAAGACTTACATGTGTGGATACAAGGGCTACTTTGTGCTACTGGCTGAGGTGCTTCCCCACTCACAAGTGGAAAGCAGAAAAGCTGCTGTAGCGTGGTACAGCTGGACATGATTGGGGTGTTCAGAGTTGGGGAGTCCCCTTCTGAAGCTTAGGACAGGCTGGTGGCAGTACCCGTCTCCTGGGACTGTTCTGGCAGACTCCTCCTTTGGGCTAAGAGCTTGCTTTGTGAGGCCTGAAGGTAGGACGCTGGCAGCCTTAAGCCCAAAGTATGCATGAAACAGACTGCACAGGTCTATGAAGTGGTGACTTCACATGTTTAGTGTCGTTACTTCTTTGGGGCTTGCTGATGTCTACGGCTAAACTAGCAAAAAAATAGCTGAGAATCTGATGAACCAACTCAACTTTTATTTATATATATTTTGGAGGTGCATCAGAAAGCTTCTGCATCTCAGATTAATGGTTCCTGAAGTGGCCATGGCCTGCTCTCCTCACGTGCTTACCATTTTACATACAAGGAAAAGGAAGAGCAGCATATGCTAAACTTTGCTTATGTAAAGCCTGCTGCTTCAAAGATTCCTTTACCCCCACCCCCATCCTTTTAAATTACATTTTTGGAATTACTTAAAGTTACTCATGACCTCTTATGGAGGGGTGTTAATGCACAGAGGCACTGAGGGTGACAATGGGCACTTAGTGCATAATTTGGAGGGCAAAGTTTAAAATAGGGCAACAGCAATACAGCAAATCTACTCCTAGTCATTTCCAGTACGGTATTTGTAGCGTAAAAAGTTGAAACGAAATGGTATTTTGGGTCAAGATGGTGGCTAATCAAATAACACTAGGCTATGCTGTGTTCATGGGCTTCAGGGGAGTGGTGCGGGTGGTGGTATTGTCAGTCCCAGAGCTTTTCCTTCTGTTTTACAGAAGGATTTTTCTATTGCAACCACAACACATAACCACAGTGTTTCCGAGATACTAGGCCCTCTTCTGGAGTCCTGAGTGATTCCGTTGGTACTGCTATCAATCTTACTTCTCCAGCATAATTTAGGGATTTGCTTTAGTTTTAGATTGGATCTGCATCCATTCAATGCATATATAATGAAAAACAGTAGAGTTGGGTGTTTTGCATACAGTTTATTATACTGATTTCCATTGTTGCCTAATTAATGTACTGCTTTAAAAGCAGTTCTGTATAAATGCCCAATAAAAACTTCAAAAAATATAACCATCCTTTTACTCTACCTAATGATGTGTAAGAAAGACATGGCAACAGAAATCAAACCATGCCACCACTATCCCATATACCAAGGACTAATCTCAGCTGTCCCCAAAGTATTAGAACTGTTGGGGGAAAATTGACAATTGATAAAATTGTTAAATTCCTCATTTATAAAGTCAATGTAGGTGGTAAGAAAGAGTTGTTTTTAAGGAATTTTTATGTCCTTGAAACGATTTAGCAAAGGGAAATTTTGAAAGAAAGGGAAAGGGAAACGGTGTGACTGACACTACAGAAAGTTATGGGACAAATACTCCCTGCACAAGTCTAGCAGGTGACAAATGGGAAGTGGGCAATGGAGGGAAAAGGCAGGAGGACAGTGGCAGACTCTTTGTAAACAAATCAGCTTGTGTGATGGCTGTTCAGTGGAGCCTCCTGGCTCCCTCTGTTTTCCTAGGTTTAAGATGCTAAAAGCTGTGCAAAACCCAGGCCTGATACAAAGAGATGCCATTTTGAGGATGCTTTGGAGCAGGGACTGAAGCTGTATATTTAGTTGGTGTGCACATTTTAAAAGCCTTGGGAGAACACCATTAAGGGGTCACCCAAGATTAAAATCAACTGATTTTCAAAAAATTATTTCAACTTCTAATCAACAAATTAGGTAGTATGGGAGTACGCGATGGAATGTCCCAGGGGCTGTGACATAATTTGTGCAGCAAGGTAACCCTTTGCTGTGTCTAGTGTGAATAGCATCACATATGTAGTTGACAATACAATAGTCAATCCTTCCCCTTCTCCCACCCCTTAATAATATCAGCAAATTGTAGTAGTCGCTATAGGAGTGCTGCACAGAGGGGGATGCACCTCCATGAGGATCTGCCCCCTTCTATTTACAGCAGCAGACAAGAAATGGGAGAGAAACAGGAAAGATACCTTCCTTTCAGACTGTTTTCCCTCTTGATTCAGCTCAATGTGGAGTGATAGGCTAAGTTTAACATAGGCGATAAGGGTGTTCCTGGCTACAGCAGCTCTATATAAGCGAACATGTAAGTTTCCAGTAGAAGCATAAGCTAACTTAGCTGCAGTGTTGCTTAAACTGGAACACTTTATCTCTACTCTGTTTAGTTGAATGCTGGATATTGGCACATGCTGGTATTTGCTCTGTGGTCTGTCTTCCCCCCAGCTTCACTGGAAACAGCAAAACAAACTTCCCTGTTGCCCTTAGGGGGAATTAGACACGTGGAAAAATGATCAGCTGTAAGCATAGCTGAAGAGGCAGCCAGGGTAGTGGTGTAGAGAGGGCAGCTTGACAGTGCCATTTCTCTTCAAGCAGTACTCCACAAAAGCAATGAAAGGATGAATAGTCTGTGCTTGGTTCACCAGTTTTAGACCTGGGATACCTTAATGGTCACTTATTAGCCACCCCAAATGTGACCAGACTTCAAAGGCTCTTCTCAGAGCAAAATAAATTTCCACTTTCTCTAGTGAGTGAGGCATATAGTTACTACAATAATCTTTATTTGCCTTTCCTCTCTCATGCTGATTTCAGAAGGGAAAAAAGTTACCCTAAACAAGTGTCACCTTTTTTACTTGTCCTATAGCCCCACCTTTTTCCTGACTTTTTTTTTTTTTTTTTTTTTTAATTTATGTAGGCTTACGGGCCTGGTTTGACATCCAGATGACAGCTGCGTTCACAGCTAATTGCAAGTGTGGAAGTTCAGCTGCAGTTTCATGCGGCTCCCACTGTTGCAAATTTGAATTAAAATGAAGGCTACTGAAATGTATCACCCCTTTAGGTACTAGCCTGATTTACTGGCAGTTTCTGGATTCTGGGGCCATTCCAGACCCCCCTGGACACACTCACGCTTTGCCTCCTTTGCTAGTGTGAGTGAGGGGGACACAGTCTCAAGCGGATAGAGGATATACATCGACAAGCTCAGTGTTTCTTAATTTATCACCAACAAACAGGCATTTAATGAACCCCAAATACTTCTCTGCTGTATACCTTGGATGTCTTCTCCCCTTTGCAACAGAGCACAGCTAGGTTTAAATGATGATATCGTAGACTCGGCCCACTCTTCCCAGCCATTCCCGTACTGCCTGGCGGACACGGATATCTGTCACGTGGCAAGTCAGCTGGCTGATACAGGGGAACACCGCTGGCTGCAGGGCTGTGAAAGTTTGGTCTGGCAGGGCCTGAATCTGGTTGAGAACTGTCAGCACCATGTTGGTCCATGCCTACAAACAAATTGGATACAAAAAAAGACTCTTTAGAAGACCTTTCTAAATAGATGAGCCCATCGATTGAGGCAGAAAATAAGGTATCTGGTGGTTGCAGCCTCATGAAGAGGACTGAGTAATGCCAGCATATTCATTTAATGTTCACTGTGTCTTCCTAATTCACATTCAGTACTGTAAGTCATTGTTTGACTTTGTATTGCAGGTATCATGCTCACCTTTTATTTCATCCCACAGTGAACAAAGACTTTCAAGTTTGATGCTTTCACTGATTTGTTCACTTGGACATGCAAGCAGCATGTTTAGCAACAGAGCCCACTATTTCTGCTGTGGAACTAACAAAAAGAACCTGCTTAAGCACAAAAGCATACTGACAAGAAGCATCACATTTTCAAAAGCCCTTCAGTGGGCTAGAGGCCTTAGCAGTAACCAATGAGTTCATTGTAGGTTGTTAGTTCTTAGGACTAAGTGCAGCTTTGGCCCCAGTCACAGAAGCAGAAGCACTCTTGAAAGCTGTACTAGTATATGGCCTGATAACACTTCCACCGATTTTCTTTTGATAGGACAGAATCAGGTTTTTGTCAGTGCTAGCTGCTGAAATATTCAGTCTTCATCATGATGACTTCTTTATGTAACAAAGACATTTAATGAAGAGATTATAATCATTATAATAAAAGCCATAGAAAAAAATATTTATAGGTATCTTTTAAATTATTGCTATTATTATTAGCATTCTACAAGTATGTCCTACCTGTATCTGGGCCTCAGCATCCCTAACAGATATATTCAGGGAACTGACTGTGGATCCTGAGCGTGGTCTCTTCTCTTGTCTCAGGATCTCTGGACCAGCACTGAATGAATGCCTCATTTGACCTTGATCTATAAGATGTTGTGGTCGCTGGAGTATGGGTGAGTCTGGCCCCCTTGAGCCCAGGAGCTCCCCTTTCTTTTCCACTTTGACCTCTTTGGTGAAGGATGTCATGGCCTGTTGCTGCTTTCTCTTCTTGTATTCTGTCATGAGCTTGGAGATAGTTTTGTCAGTGGCTATGGTGTAGATCTTGTTGCCAGCACTCTCCCACCATTCTTTTTTCCTCGTTTGCTCTTTTTTCTCTGGTTTAGGACTTAGAGGTGGAGGTAGCAGCAACATTTCTCCACTCCCTCCTCGCGATGTCAGGCTGTCTCCCAGTTGGTCCCTGATTTGACTCCGGTCATCTTCCGATGGTGTGTCCTTCCCAGATTGCCCTCCTGTCGATGGGGTGGAGGTTTCTGAGTGAAAGGATGGTAAAACGAAGAAAGGGTCGCCTTTGAACACTGGAGGCTCCTCTACATTATTCTCCAGGTCCAGATGCATCTGAATATAGTTGTTGCACAGTTCCATACAGAGCTTATGAAGCCGCTTGATTAGCCATCCCCAGTCCGCATTGCTGACAGGCTGTACACTCAGAGATGGTATTCGAGCCCTCCACTGTCTCTTCTCCTTCCCTCGTGGGGGACTGACCTGGGCGGTTTCTTCAAAAATGTCTTCATCTTCTGAAGAACACTGCTGTGACGAGTCTGTGCTTCTCTCATCATCTTCAAAGAGGATCTTCTTCACTTGCTCTGCAGTAATGTTCTCCTGGTTTGTCAGGATTGCACAAACCAAAGCATGGAAGTAGATGTTGAAGCTCATTGCTGACTGGCGATACAAGTTGGCAGCTCCACTAATGCCAGACACTTTTTTCAGCAAACACTTCAACCCAGGTCTGGTGTCAAACTCTCTGGCTGTTCTGTAGGAGTCCAGCAGTAAGTCAAAGATGACAGCCAGGTTTTGCATGGAGATGTACCTGAGAAAACCAGCCAACTTGTTTTCTGGTACTTGTATTGTCATTTTCTCCTCCAAGTTAGAAGGGCCTTTCACAAATTCTTCCAGTAAGATGTCATATAAATTCTGGAGCAGTACTTGGTGGGACAGCAAGCTCACCACTATCGTCCTGAAAGGAATACTTGGTAAACCAAGCATGGGAAGGAAAAAAATAAAATAAAATTAAAATGGTGCATTGTGCTTTTACTAGAAGTACAGGAATACTTCATATTTTAGAATCTAACATGAAAGATGCAAATGAAAGGCCAATTTCTCAGAGCCTGGTTACAAAAAAGTGGGGGAAGATAAAGTTGTCTAGAATGGTCTTTCACCTACTCTTTCAAATACTTTCCTAGAAGGGAAGACACTTACATTGGTTAAGAAAAATAACCGTCCACAGCAAGCACACTAACGGCACTTGTGCAGAGGTGGTATTAAAACAAAGCTCTATTATAATTTTTGTCCTTTTCTCCAGAGATGTGTAACACTGAGGGATTAAATATTCTAAGTTTCAATTTCACGGCAGCTGCAAGTACTCTCAATATTTCAGCCTGCTATAACTGAGGAATTTGTTAACACACAAGTTATGCAGCACTTCTGCCACCGGTCCCTGACTATTTTCTATTTTTGTTGCTAAACTTTGGCTAAGTTGAAATACCCTTAAAATTCCTCCACTGGCATTTCAGCCAACCTTAACTTTGCCATGACAAATTGAGGCCAAAACTAGTTCACCACTCAGTTTCCATCTCCACTAATGCCAGGAGTACTTGTTAAAAATAAAACACAAAGAGCCAACCAACCAACCAACAAAAAAACTTCTACAGAAACATCAGCAGTGCAATGGAGCATGCAAAGAAGCTTAAGTCTTGCTGAAGGCACATTCCACTGTTTGCTCTTAAGACTTCAACTTGAACACTGAGAGCCTACCATGGAAATATCTATTCCTAACCCTGTTTCTCACATGTAATACTGGGTGATTCTTAGCTGTGCTCCTGTTAGAGAGATGCTGTGAGTTGATCTAGATCTCACTGATTTTTGATTTGCACAGGGAACCCAGGAATGGCAAATTCCCCCAGCCAAAGTTTTCAGGTCATTCACTAGTACATAAGATTGAGAGGCTCACAGGCAAGGGAGGCCTGTGGAAGAAGGGGTGGGACAGGATTGTTGTTTGGTATCTCATGGATTTAAAATTATAAACTGTGAAACCTTTCTTAAGGCATTTAAAAAAACGTCTTTGCATAAGATTACAGCGGCAATGTTTTAAATGGAGCTGGTGGTCTGGTACACATAGTAATACTTGTTTTGATTTAGGGAACTATGATGGGTCACATTTCAATTAGCACTGCTATCTAGTAAGGAAGAGATTTTTCAGTTTGCTTGCAATACTGAAGTTTTAGGTCTAAGTCAAAGTGAATCTTCATGTAACATGAGATGTTCAGTTGTAGACCTTTTATTTTTTTGTTGCAAAAATTATTCTACTTTCATTAAACAATTTTTAAAAGTGATTTCAAAATACCAAAACAAAAAGTCTGGGGTTTTTTTTGAGAAATCATATCAAAACTCAGTTTTGAGAATGCAACATTTAAAAAAAATCCAGAAAACCACGTATTTTAACTCTCAAAATCTTGCCTTATGTTAATTGACTTACAAAAGCACAGAAATGGTCCTGATTAAAAAAAAAAAAAAAAAAAAGTCCTGAGACTTTTGAGAGACTACCGTATGCTGGGCCATGTAGAAGCTATAGGTCAGACAAAACTGTGCTTCTAGGGTTAATTTACCTATGTCAGTTCACTTACCATGACACAGCTGCCAGTGCCAATACATCAGTAAAATTTAATAGTCTTCTTATCTGACAGTGCTAAAATCTTAATGATTAATACATACGTTGGAGCTCTTTATGGGGAAGTAGTTTTCCACTGAAAAATCATTAGAGGCTCTGACTCAGAAAAGCTCTTAAGAGCATGTATAAAGTTAAATGAGTGCTTGCATTGATTTCAAGAGACTAATCCTGTTTCAAAAGCAGGATCAGAATGGAGACCTGCTTTTCCTTGTAATAGCCAAAAAGTCAATTTCCAAGGACAGTTTAAAGCACTACTCAATTCCAAAAGAAACTAGAACAGAGCTATAGGTGAAAACACACAATGCCAAAGCTGGTTAAGGATAGTATTTTCTTATTCTGCCCAAAGTTTCGAACTGAAATACATTATTACTTTTTAGGAAGAAGAAAAGCTCCCTTACCCCAGCTTCCTGTGAAACGATGCAGCATTAAGGAAACAAAAGCAAAAAGGGAGAAGAGAAACCCCACTAAGGTTAAAGTAAAACTTTTGAAAGGCCACAGTCACTAGCATGCAAGACTGGCATATTACTGCACTGCTGTAGCAAATAATATGAAAAACAGTGGCACAGTCAACTTTTGAGCCCTGTTTTGATGAAAAACGAGCATTGCTGGGGTAACAGTTGCCTATCGGCATATACACTTTTTGCAGTTGTTTAGACAAAGCGCAGTGTGAGAGCATTCAGAGTTTGTATTAATTGCAAGCTTTATTTATTTATTTGTTTAAAGACAAGCAAGACCCACGCTACCTTTATGAACACTGCCTGTTAGATTGCATGGCCTTATGTGCCATGAGAGGGGAGTACTCCAGTCTTTTGCTTTGCCTTCATTATAACAAGAAGAATGATCTGCAAACCTTTGGATAAAGCAGATATTTTCCCACCACGAAGGAAGGGTTTAGACTGTGATCTCAACCTTTCTTCGTCTCTGTGCAGGGCCCTGTTCTCTGAAGGTGAGGCAACAGAGCGCCTGCTCTCGGGGGAAACTTCTGTACAGCTGTGTAAGAATAGAGACATCGTGCATGGTCTTTCCTCGTGTCCATCCAAAGAAGGACCATCATATTCTGGCTCCTTGTTGCAAGCAATAGTTTAGTTTTGAATGAGAATGCCTGAAGTGGTACAGAAGCAGGTTTGGTATCTAGTAAAAGACAATTTCATGTCATGTATTACATACCTTGCAATACAAACACAAACCCTGAATGCAGAATTCTGATTCTTGGCCCTATTGATGTTACAGCAGTTGTTTAAACAACCGAGTGCAAGCAAAAAGAAATATTCTTTGACAGGATCAGATTGTCATGCAAATGCATGAGTTTCTGAGGTGGTAACTTCCACAAAAATAAAGTCCCAAGCAAAACCAACATTCCCTAGATCAATATGTTGACAGTTTCGCAGCTGTGGATGTGGTCTCTTCAATTTATACTGCTCCAGTTTATCCATTAACTTTTTCTACCTTCTTAATCCAGTAATACTGAATTTAAAAGACCATTAGTGAAGCAGACATTATTTAATTTGCAAATATATATCATTACAAACATAACAGTACTTCCAAAGCTTTCTTCAAACTGTTGTTTTTAACTCTACTTCTTAGAGAAAAAAATCTCAACATTGGAAAGATTTTCCTAGTATTTCCTATGAGAATTCTTTTCTTAATTTAATCTGCATTTCCTCTCCTTGAAGGTTTTGTGTAACCTTATGTATCCTTCAGGTATTTGTAACCTACCAATTTTTACTATCTATTAGAAGCGTTTTCCTTATTTAGCTTTCTAAGGGCCACATTATAGACCCTGACACAGGCTTGTCTATAACTGTAACAGCTCTTGCACATGTCTGCTCAGCAGTGTATGATCATGGGAACATTTGGAGAGCAGACAGTAGTAAACTATTGTCTCCTGTGTCACAAAACCTAATTTTTATTTGATCGGTGTATTTCATTTTTTTGATGAGACCTACGGAGAGGCATGGTTTGCCAGGCTCTGTTGACATCTCTGCCAGCCTGACAATATTTTTATCTTGCTTTTAATGACACAGTATTTTCCTGAGAAGATATTTTACCTTCTCTGGGTATGCCCATTTGGTTTCTTATCTGGTGGCAGGTCAATGATGAGCACACACGACTGGGCATGTTCAAACCCTTCCTTGTTGCTAGGGGTCTTTGGGGAGCACTGAGTCTCCAGCATGAAGACCTACAAAACAACAGGTTACATAAAACAATCAGTTTAGCACTTGCACTGGGTTATTGGGGGGCCTGAGAATAGGATTTCCTGCATTGTGAAAGATCTGTTATGATGACATTTTACAGCGATGGAGAGAATGCAAGGTATCGCCCCCAGGCAGACCTTCCCTGGAGCATGCTGCTTTGGTAAAACAGCCTCAGAGCCATGGGCTACCTCCAGACACCCAGCAGAGCACAGGGCAAAGGACAGGCATCTTTTTTTTTGAACTTGTATAAGGCATAATATCAAATACCGAAACAAGCTTTCTGCTGTCTGTATACTACTGTCAGAAAATATCATGTATAGTGGAGACAAGGATCTGTTTGCATAGTTAGCCTGTTGTACCTAGAAAGGTTGGTTGTTGGAAGGGTTATTTTCAGCCATGAAGACACAACAGACACCTAACCTGCAATTCTTTGGGTGGGAAATGGGGAAATAACTCTCAGTTGCTGTAGCTTTGTTTTGTAGCTTAGTAGTTGTGTCAAATCCTCACTGAGGACTCAGGGAGTGCCACTGATAGTGTCTACAAGAAAAGTATAAATGCCACATTCTCTGTTTTCTTGAGTTCTGCGTCTTTAAAATTTAATTTAAAACATTTTTTCTATTCAAAGTCTGCCACTGCCACATTATTTGTGATCACAAATCCTGGTCTGTGCATCTCAGATTTTCAAGCAGCATCAGGGTATGATTAATCAAGTCAGAAACCGACACCAAACATCTGTTGGCTCTTTTAATCCAGCTGCTTTCCCATGCTGAAACTGTCATACAGTATTTACAGTGTTATGGTACCCTGCAGGTCATTAAGTTGTCTGCTGTATTTCAAGGAACTTGTTTCACATAACCACTTTCATAAAATGAATAACCTCCATTGTAGTCAAAAGGACCCCGAGAAGGTTGTCTCCAAGCTTGCTCTGCTGATCAGGAGTTAGTGGTGAGTTTTAAATCATTTGTTAAATGTCAGCATTATCCTCTAGTTCTCAGTAACTCTTTCTTCTCTGCAATCTATACCCAGGTATTTATAGAGGAAAAAAATCTGCATTCCTCTTCAAACTCTGCTTTGATAGGTTGAACAAATCTTGTTTTGCTAGTTTCATATCACGGTCTCTGTTCTAGTGCATTTTTTTCCCTTTGAAATTATCATTCTTTAACAGAGTAATTAAAAATATATATGACATTCTAGATGAGAATTCATAGTGCCACTACTATTTCCTTTTCTCTATCAGAAACATTTCCACTGACGTATGCTAGGGTTGCCTTTTTTAAAGATACATTACACAATAGGCTCATCATCAGTCCTCCTCAGGTACCTATGCATCTTCCCCCACCCTAGGCATTCCTAATTTCTACTTACAGGTGCACAGTTTTAAGGTTTTTTTTCTAGTTTTTGTTATCTTTTCTCAATACTACTGTTAGACAAATAAATGTTAGCCTGGCGATGAGGAAGTCTTTGCCCGTAGGGTTTGTGAGGAAGGGGGTGGTAAAGATGTACTTTCATAAGGAAAAGCTCCAAGTTTAAAAGGTTCTCTGACTTCCCTTGAAATGTCAGTGAGTACCTGTTGTGCCATGGCTCTGATTCTCCAGTATTCAGCTTCAGCACTTGGCGAGAGGGAGGGGGCTGCCACCTTCACTTCACAGGCATCTCCACTAAAGCTTTCAGAACCACTGTGGAAATAGCCCAACAGGTTCTATAGAGAGACACAACATCAGACTTTCACTGTGCGTCAAATGAAGCCAGTGACTGTAGCGTTGTCCAGCCTGTTCATGTGTAATACAAGATTCAGAGTGATTTGTCCCATTAGCATCAGCCGGTCACCTGGCATTACAACTTCTTATGTAGTCTGGCCTGTGATGAGGATTTTTTTGTTACAAGAAAGATAGTGAGTTGAGAAATAATCTATATGGAGCACGCGGCTACAGGATCAAGAAAGCAGCTTTGTCTTCTGTCTAGTTTTAGCCAACCCAGAGGAAGAAATAGATCAAAAGTTAAGTTTTCACCTACTAAACTCTCTGATTTCATACCGGCAAGGCAATTTAAAGTAAGTCTGGACTATTAGTGACTAGTGTTGTCTGCACATGTTTAGAAAAACTGATTTCAATCTCCATTGTTGATCCAACACCTTTCATTGTGAGTGAATTGACAAAATAACAAAAGCTACCACATAATCCTTATGCTTCTTTTCTTGGCTCTGTACCCAAAAACTTTTCAGAAAAAGGAAAAGCGACCTGTCAAAAGTTAGTGAGTCTATAACTAGTGTGATTACATTTTGACTGTCAGCAAAAAGGCAGTTTACCTTTACCGGCTCCAGCGTGGCAGAGAACGCATCCTGCAGGGCACAACACGCAAGCCTCCACATCTCTTCAGTAAAAACAGGCCCTGCGGTCACTAACACATACCTGCAAGGACACAGGAAAATGTTACCATGTTCAAGAAGGAACTAGACAATTCTTGCTTCTAATGGGAGAAGGTTGAAAACAGAACAAAAGGCCTACTCAGTAGCTAGCTAATGATATCGAATCTCCTCAGCTATTACCCTGACCTATTTTGTAATTACACTGTAGTTTTGACTTTTTTTTTCCTTTGCTTTTCCTCTTTAAGTAGTCATCGTGCCAGGATAAGAACCACACGTCTAAGTATATAATGTAGTGCTTATTTTGATTATTTGACTGTAATAACCTGAAGACTGTGAAAGGTATTAATTACCTCTGAAGACCTGTGAATTCCAACAGAAAGACCCTTGATTATTTTTCCTAAGGACTAATTATTGACTAACTGCATATAAGTAATGTACAAGTGCTTTTTATGGGAATGATACACATAGCAATGCCTAAAATCACAGGTTCTGAAGCAGACAGAAAACAGCAAGAAAAGGTTAGTAAGTCTAAAATTCATTATTCAAATAACAAGAGATAGATAGATTGTAGACTTCTTTTGAGATGTTAGCTAACTTAATCAGTCCACAAGTTCTTCAAAGATATAAAGACATCTTTTTTTAGAATATGCTAACGGAGTAAATAGACTGTGTTACCTGATACAAGAGCAGCCAACTCTGGAAATAATTTCTGTTGGTTCTGCTACACAGGCTACCAGCAACTTGAAAAGATCTTTCAGCATAGTATTGATCATATTTTCATAACCAATATCTATAAGAAAAAGACACAGACTTGTTTTAACATCATTGCCTTTTCATTCTAATTAGAGATAAACAGTCTTGCTACACTTACTGCTATTCAGAGACTTTGCAAAACCAAATCTTTTTATGCAGGTATCACCAGAGTTCAATTTTGAAACATGCATCATGTCAAACTGAAGTAAGAACAGTCCTTTTGATGTCAACAATATAAAATGTCTGGGCTTAAGTGGTACTGGAGAAATTCTATTAGATCCTGTTTCTGAATATTCTAGTTCTTTATGATTAAAGTCTTAGTATCTTCTTTTGGAAAGTATAATATAGACTGTGACGATTTAATTTTGAAGATAGCCCTGCTCTGAGCGGAGGCTGGACTAAATAATTTCCCTAGGTCCCTTACAAGTTAATTTTTTCCATAATTCTAAACCCTATAAAGAAAGAAAAACAAACCCAAACAAAGAGAAATTTTCAACCCTCTTCCTCTTATTTTATGCTTGAGTAACCAAAAAACAATGAAACCATCTCCCAAGTAGCTATTCGGTAACATGCCACTGATGACTGTCAGTAGATGTGACAGCGCAATGACATACCTGAGTGTATGAAATTTTGAATGTGCTCCACTACGAGTTCACAGGAAAGGCCAATGGCATGCTTGAAATTAGCAGATGCCACATCCCAGTAAGAATGGTCACCATGGCTGCGATGGAGCCAAAGAGACATCGTGGGAAGAAGAAGATGTACAACTGCATAAATGCCAAATCCTGGGCCTTAAAATAAACACAATGATGGTTGTATATTTTTGCTTACAAAGCCTACATGCACAGTAAATTTGCTAAGTTGTTCCAAGCTTGACGCCAGGGGCAGTGCTAAAGAAAGCAGGTTCTGAAACGTTTTTTGTTTTGTGGGATGAGAGGGGTAAGCAGTTTTGGATCTAGTTGTGAGGTAGTATACGAACATTTAGCCAACAGGTAAGCAGTTTTGGATCTAGGTAGTAGTAGGTACTACTAGGTACTATGTGAGGTAGTATACGAACATTTAGCCAACTGTTTACCTGCCATCTTTCCCAGCAGGTCTACAGGACGATATAATTTTCTTTTTCCATTTCCTGGACACCAGGCAAATGTTTTCTGTGGCTAGGACATGAATAGAGTACTGCACCTCTTTCTTTGTGCACTAAATGTAAAAGTATAACATACTCTTACAAGATGCCTTTTGTCAACATAGAACAATGCACTAACTGGAACAACAGATCATGCTCTGAGAAAATCCCTTTCTACTTGAGAATGCCTCTGTGCAGCTCTAGCATGAGTAACACACTTTACAGAAGTGGTTTAGGATTCTAAGAATTTCAGGTCAGGGCTCTACTAGCTCATGTTTTATCAAGCCCTTTCATTACCAGGTGTCTTGGCAACATCCCTCAGCAATTCAAAGAGCAGATCCAAAGTAGGAGGCTGGTGCTGACGGGGACAGTTGGATATGGCAGTTGTTAATTCTTCCAGCAGAATAATCCAGACATTGATAAGGCCTACAAGTAAGGAAACAAAGATTAAAAGCCATGAGTGAGATACTGCATTGACCACAGGTGGAACTTGCCCTCAGAAAGTGATGGAGGCTAAGAAATTAATTAACTTAAAGATCATGTGTTCTTGCACGTTCACTGTTGCTGTGTAATGGTTGTGGGCAGTATCAATTTTTGAAATGATGGTCTCCTTTTCTTTCCCTTTTTATTAAGTTTGTATTTTGTCCCATCCTTCCTCCTCCACGTACATTTTGTTCTGGTCTTCTTTCTTAGTTTACTACTCTCACTAGTCCAGTCTCTTTAACCTTGGGGGTTTTTTAATTTTTTTAATGGGACATTTTACATATCTCACTACCGTTGCAAATGCTGCCCAGAAGAGTTTGTACCCATTTACGTTATGCTTTTAGGTAAGGATCCTCAGGTGACTAGCCATAATTTAAGTGTCTTTATTTGGTACCCAGAACTGAACAGTAATAATGCCTCATGAAGTATCATCAGGCTGTCTCACATGTCATCTTCAGAAATTAGGAGGTCACAGATAGGAGAGTATTAAATGTGGATATGGCAGAGCTGGACAACTACCAGAACAGCAGTTAGGATACAGGTAGTACTGTGAGTTCATATCTACATTAGCAAACATGTACCCCTAAAAGATTATGGGATACAACTAGTTTTCAATACAATTTTGAAGATGGTTAGGAATTGCTGCCCTTTGATTTTTCACAGATCACTTAAGTACTTGCCCATGATATTATGAATGACTAGAAGGATCCTGCATATTACACTCACAATGCTCTTGCAATGTATAGCGTTATTCTTGAGTTAAGTCTCCTTAAAAGGCTATGGGTGTATTAGGCTAAAATGGATTTTACTTTGGTTCACTAATAAGCCCTTCTTCTCTGCCACTGGTAGCCATGCTGATGTAGTCTGTGACTGCATGATGCTTGCTGGCTAATTATGTTCCAAAAGCAATAAAAAAAGCTGCAAGGGAACTTTGTTTAAGATGCACTGAGTTTGCTGACTGCAGAAGTCTTCCTGAGAATCAAGGAAAACACAGTGAAATCATTACTTATTAACTGGGTTGATTATTTATTCACACCACTTCCACAGGGCAGTACATATGGTAACATTGTTTGGAGTCATATAGACTTTAATGATGTTTCTAGATAAGGAAACAGCGCAAATCACTCAGCACAAAATCTGGGTATCTTCAAATCTGGAAGAACTGAGTATCTTTTAGAAACACCCTCTTGAAGAGCTTGGCATGAAATCAAATACACTATGAAAATACACTGCACCACCATATGGCAAAGTAGGCTAAAACATTTTGCCCCATCTTGATATTGACTTTCAGCACTAAAGTGCCAGGTGAAGCACTGTCTTCTCTCTTTGTAAAGTCATTTGCCTAGCAATGTTCTAATACCATTACCAGCTAAATAAAAATTGGGTGAAAGTTTCAGTGCTTAGCTCTGACAAGAACCAGATCAGAAGGTTTCTTTGCTGCAGGGTGGCATTTCTATTTACAGCAAGCAAGACATTGATAGGCAGAGCCACTTCAGAACAGTAGGCAAGTGGTGCTCACCTGAGGTGGGGAGACCCTAGGTCAAGTCCCAAGCCTGACTCAAAGCAGAGACTTCAGTGACTTGGGTCTCCCACATCTCAGGTGAACATCCTAAAGTTTCCAGAGAGAAAAAAAAAACCAAACATAGAAAGAAGAAAGTAAAAGCTTTGGCTTTTTTTTTTTTTTAAACCAGGACTTGCTTTGGCTTTTTTTTTTTTAAACCAGGACTTGTGGTTTGCTTTTTTCAGAGAGCAGCTTTTCTCTCCTTTATCCAGGGTAGCAGTGGAACAGGACAATACATGTGGTGGAAGAGCCTCAATAAAAGTAGGTACCAAGAGTCATTCTGGTAAGGCATATGAATGAAATGCATTGGAGTCAGCCTGCTTTCTGCCTGGTTGGAGCTGGCTCTTCACAGAGGCAGGCATGTTGCAACAGCTCAGTAGTTCAGATATTCAGAAGCGACTGTACTGCTTCAAAGGGCCATCATGAGTCCAGAAGCAGTAGGGCTGCATTCCTCTACCACTTGGCTCCACACAGATCTAGTTCATCAAACACCTGATTAATCCACAACCCATATAAGCCACATAAATAATCAGGAGACAAATGCTGCTTGTTTTTCTGGAGGTCGTGGTGCTTTTTATGGACTTCAGAAATACACCATTTAGTTCAACAGACCACAGTACATAAGTTTGGAAACATATTTAAACAAGTATTCTTTATCTTTCTAAACTCTAAACTTTCTAAACTCTAAACTCTAACTCAACACCAGTATTTTTTCTGTTAAAGGCAGGCCTGCCAATACCAACCTTACAAGGTTTTCACTCCTTTACTTCAGCTTAGGTCTAGAAAGTATTTTTGTGTTAGCTCTCAGAAATATATACTGGTATATATTTCTGGTATATTACTGGTATATATATATTCTGGTAATATATATAATATATATAATATAATATGGTTATATATATTACTGGTATATATATATTCTGGTATATTACTGGTATATATACTGGTATATATTTCTGCTTTCAATGCACTTACCAGTGTTGTCATCACAGTCAGAAAGGATGCACTCAATACCGTCCTCACTGCTGGCTGACTGTTCCTGCACTCTTCGAGGCAAGTTAACCAGCCGGCCACTGAGGAAGATGGGTTTCAAGGGCATTTTATAGATTTTGGCTAACATACTGGTATTATGAATATCAGGATAATTAAAATATTATTATCTTGTCCCAAGATAATATTGTATTTTTCTCATATATGAGCTGTATCTTTTAACATAAAGAAAGTGACGTGACCTGAACTTCCAAGCTCTGTGTGCGCACGTGTGTGTGCAGACGACAGGGAGACGATAAACTATGAAGTTTTTCCCCTCCTTTTTGCTTTCAGCAGTTCGCAAAATTTACAGTGACGTGTGGAAGAAGCGATTGATTAATTCTGCATTTACTGCTTTCAATGCACTTACCAGTGTCGTCATCACAGTCAGAAAGGATGCACTCAATACCGTCCTCACTGCTGGCTGACTGTTCCTGCACTCTTCGAGGCAAGTTAACCAGCCGGCCACTGAGGAAGATGGGTTTCAAGGGCATTTTATAGATTTTGGCTAACAACTGGGCGGGGGGGAGGAGAGAGAGAGAGAAAGAAAAAGAGAAGAAAAGATAAATATATATGGGAAAGTTTGTAAAAGCTATCACATACAACACAGGTATGTAAAATAAAATAAAAGCTATGAAAGCAGCATAATGTCAGCATCTGTTCTGTTCATCCAGCAATAGTGTAAACGAAAAACACAACTAGAGGCCAGAAGTCGTCTGTTCATTGACAAGTAAGGGGTCGGGGGGAGAAAGACAGGGAGAAAAGCAATTTAAATAACACATTTTTGGGAAGGGAGCGTGCTTCCTCCTCATTTGTGAAAGACAAATGTTACTACTTACTGATTGCACCTGTGACCTAAGAAGCTCCAATAGCTGTACACAGAGCATTTTGGAGCTCTGAAGGACTAAGTAAATACTGATAAAAGGACCTGTACAGGTTTACTTCAGGGCTTCATTGCCTGGGTTGTGCATTACACAACAAATACAAACTTTGCAGAATTGTGCTATAGCTGGGATGCTACCAGTATTTTACCAGGCCTTTCTAAAGTAAACCATGTATTTGCAATATACAGACAGGATTTCTTTTTAGTCATTCCTGTTTTTCTTCTACTGGCAAGTTAAAAGCTACAACAAGATAAAAATGGCTGCTTCTTTTGAAGAGGAGAAAATATTTCTGCCTCACTGTGGACTGGGGTTTGTAAGGATGAGGAAGAGTGATGTGATGCACATAGTGTATAGATAGAACATACAGTAGATATACACATAGATATTCACTAATTTTTTTTAGGTGAAGAAGATAGCAAGTACGATTTGATATGTCAGCTGTTTATTATTCTGAGCTGTCTTATTCCTTCCTTTTCCTCTCAGTCTGTGTACTGAATCCACCCGTTATCTCTGAATCTAGATATTAAGTCCTTTCAGCTATGGTAATATCCTTTGTTATGCATTTGTATTGTACCCAGAAAAAACATGGCCTGGGTCCAACAAAAAGACCTGCTGGTACTACAGAAATACAAACAACATTATAAAATCAGACAAAAACCATCCTAATAACCCTGGATAATAATCTGTGCTGTGTGCAAGGAGATTACAGGAAACATACCAACATTCTAATTTGTTAGAGATTTGCCCTGAGCTTCAGATACGTTTTCATGGTACAGATAAGCTGCTGCTGCATTCTAGAGGGTGTAACCTGTTGCTGCTCTTAAGATCTGAGAATTCTCAAGGGTTTTGGTTTTTTTTTTTCCTCTTTCATTCCCAACACTGTTTACAGTAACTGTTTAAATAAGAATGAATGTAGCTTTGAATATGTTACAACTAGGTTTTGAACATTCACATTTTCCCACATGCTCCTTGGGTCTGAGTGTTTTTATCTCCTTAGTTTTCCCACCATTAGTTGGCCTAGAAGGTATAAGAGTCCTTCAGATCACCACTCTCCATCTGGCAGTGCAGGTTATTACCATCAGGCTTACCACAGATTCTGTTGTGTTCATGCAAACCATCTAATCATTGATGCAAAGCCTGGAGGTTAGAACAGTTCCTAGGCCAGGTTAGTACCTGTGTAAGATTGTTCATCGTACCTGAGAACATCTCCTGAGGTAATCAAGCGCGGGAAGGCACAAGTCTGTAGATGCAGATCCTGATCCTGGCACACAGTCACCCATCTCCTTGCAATCTATTTCCCCTGGGGACAGGAAAGGCAGCATTGGGAAGGACAGAAGAAGAGAAACAAATGTAGCATTAGTTTTCCTTTTTCATTCAGTTGTGCCCTAATGTCTAAATAGAATCCAGAAAACATCCTTTGTTTGATCTTACTATATGACAACCAAATGACTCTCATACAAACAATACAGTAATATTGGTCACAGTTTATACATGCCTATTTAATAACTCTTTAGTAGAGCCTTTGGGAGTTCTTATAATCATACCTTATAGTCATCTGTCATATTGACTCCATTTCACTTTTTTCCATGGGTATATGAATTACTTGTTCATATTCAACCTTTGCTCAATTAATATACTCATTTTTTTCTATTCATTTGCACCCCAGTGCCCTCGAAAATTCTTCTACCACAAGTTCTTCCTTTTAGTTTATTTACTCTTTAAATACACCATTTTATATTTTGTGCTACAATATTTCCTTCTGCTGTCTAATTCAGGTGTCAAGGTCTCACAGTTTGAACTGTATGATATCCTCAGGCTCTAGTGTCTCAATATCACAGGTATTACTAACTCTGTGGCATCAGCAGACTCCTACTTTTAGGTCACCTTCACTAAGTGTATTAAATAAGCAGATCAGTTCCAAGGCATCCTGTTGCAGAGCTCCTCTCTGCATAACTCCATTCACTCCAGCATTTTCCCTGTCTGCACAGTCTGTTTTCCTCTCCTCTCAGCCAATGTTCTGCCCACCCTAGAATACTTGGCTCATAACCATTTTTCCAGTTTAGCCAAATACTTCCCATTCAGTGCCAAATCTGAAGCTTTACTAAATGCCTATATATATTAACATTTTATTGCCTTAAACCTATTCCTCTCATAAAAACCACAATATAAGTATTAAATCCTTTTATTAAGTCCTACTGTATTCTCCTTTCACTACATTTATTTGCTTTTTCTATGACCTTAACTATTCCCTCCATAATGTATTTTAAGTCTTGTCTACTATTGAGATCAGCCAAGTCAGCCAGCGAAGTTTGAATCCTTTAGTTTTATGTTAAAACGCACATAAATGGTAGCATATTTGCTATTGCTCAGTACTGAAGTATCCCATAGTCCTACTACCTTTAATACAAAAAAAGATATTGCTTTTTGACATGTAACCATAAAGGGGACTTATCTCATGAAAGTAAGAAACCTAAAGAAATGTAAGACAGGCTTTTAAGTTCTCCAGAAGGAACAGGAGTTCCCTCTACTGGTACTGGACGTGCAAGTTTGTTTCTCTTTTGTAGTAATAATTACAATTCCGATCTGTCATCACAAGCTGAATTCTGTCCCCATTCAAATCGATGGTGAAATAGCTTAATAAGACAAGAGTAACATTAAAGACTAGATCTGCTGCAGTTAGGTGCTTCATTTAAAACAAAGGGAGGCACTTACAGACCTAGATACCTCTGTGAATTAATATACATATAAAAAAAAAAAGCCCCATTTTACCACTCATTAGAATTTTTGCAATTTACATAAGGGGGGGGAGAGGGAATCATTGCAACAGTGTCATGGTTTACCCCCAGCTGGCAACAAACCCCCACCCAGCCGGTGGAGGAGAGAATCAGAAGAGTAAAAGTGAGAAAAATTGTGGGTTGAGATAAAGACAGTTTAATAGGTAAAGCAAAAGCCGCGCACACAAGCAAAGCAAAACAAGGAATTCATTCACTGCTTCCCATCGGCAGGCAGGTGTTCAGCCATCTCCAGGAAAGCAGGGCTCCATCACGCCTAACGGTTACTTGGGAAGACAAACGCCATCACTCTGAACGTCCCCCCTTCCTTCTTTCCCCAGCTTTATATGCTGAGCATGACGTCATATCACCATATGACGAATATGGAATATCCCTTTGGTCAGTTGGGGTCAGCTGTCCCGGTTGTGTCCCCTCCCAACTTCTTGTGCACCCCCAGCCTACTCGCTGGTGGGGTGGGGTGAGAAGCAGAAAAGGCCTTGACTCTGTGTAAGCACTGCTCAGCAATAATGAAAACATCCCTGTATTATCAACACTGTTTCCAGCACAAATCCAAAACATAGCCCCATACTAGCTACTATGAAGAAAATTAACTCCATCCCAGCCAAAACCAGCACACACAGTTCAATGAAAAGTGTCAAATTCTAATGATCAAGGCAAGCCAGGGAACACGAACATGGGGGGAGAATGACCACCAAACTTCAGAACACAGGCAAATGGTGTTGGAAGCACCACAAGTAATCTACAGGGTCACCTTGACTTGACATGCCTGGTCTCCGCTGCCCTCAGTAACACAACAAAAAAAAAACCCATGGGGACAGAGTGTTGTTAGTTGCAATGCTCACGATCTCACTGAAGGTTCAGCAGGTTTTCAGCACTGCATATGCCAAACTACTGCTGCTGAGGTGGGCAGGGGTAGAAAGGAGCCATGTGGCTTTGACCACTGAACATAAAACATGCCCTGTTCTGTTGCAGAAAATCCATGCTGTCACTGCACAATGCCAGGCCATTTCTGCAATACTCTGTTTTTTGTTTTGATGGGGTTTTTTTATTAAATGAATGTAAGCAAGTCCTGATGCAAATTAAGATCAAATGAAGCAGACATTTAATAGTGAGATGCATCTTTGCTGCTATAACAACATGAAGAATTGATAGCATTAAAAATGTTTCTGAAATAATCCCTTGGTCTTGATTTTATTTTATTTTTTTAAAGCATTCTGGACTCGATTTCTTCACTGCCTCTCTCTTCCCTACCATACTATGTATTACATAACTGAATTCTCCTCTTCTGCAGGATCAAGTTTGACATATCACGACTTAATAGGATAAAAGGAAAATAAAAATATTTACCCAGTCCTTTGACAAACTTCATAAGGCACATAATATAACTGGTGGCGGCATTGGCAAAGACCTGGATGCTGTCTGTGTTTAGAAATGCTTCAAAGACATCAAACACCGGAGCCTGGCGTTTCCCTGTGGAAATAACAAGATGAGAACTCTTCCCCATCCCCCATAAAGGTGATTTTCCAACAGTTTTTCAACAATTTAATTGAATCTGTAGAATCTCTTCTATTGTGGGCAGACAGAAATTATCTTAGAAGTAAAACCTTCTCTTGCTCCTGAGGCAACTCATGTAGCCCTTCACAGGAAGTAATACAGACTCCCTCCTTTGCCTTATCTATGAAAAATATCAGCTTATGCCTGCCCAAATGGTAAGAGCAGGTTTGAGCTCTTGAACTCAGCTCAGTAGCTAACACTTCTGTTTGGTGGATGTTTCTGGTTTAGTTCTCGATAACTGCCAAGATGACAGCAGTCACACGGCAAACTATTCAGACTATACAGTAAGAAAATAGCCTTGCTTTCCCAAGTAGATTATCAGCCTTCAAAAGCTGTATACGCTTCCATTTTGCCATCGATCATAACAGATCTGAAAGACAAAATTTAGGAGGAAAACCATATCCTTACACATGACTTGTAACATTTAAAAATACCTTCTAATGGAGCAAAAGAACAGATTAAAGTGATTTCCCCATATTATCCAGTTTCCATACAAGCAAACATCTCTGGGAGGGATGCAGAATCATTCTTACAGCAAACATGGTTTGTAATAGCGCTAGCAATTTGAAGCCTTGTGATTAAGTGCCTGGACAAGCACTTGCCTAGATTATCACACTAACTTACCCTGATGTATAAGAGCATTAGGTTTCACATAGTAAGAAAGACAGTCTACATGAGACGTGGTGGTTGTATACAGTATGCTTTCCTTTCTCTAGCAGGACAGTGACAAGGGCCCAGCCAAGCTCAGTACTCCTGCTCTACTGGTTTGCTAAAAAATATTCAAGTAGGTTTGAAACATTTCTTTTTCATTCTACTCATCTGCCAGAATCTAGAAGATAAAAAGTCAGAACAATACCTCTAATACCCCAACTAATAAACCAGATACTTCAGTACAGTCCTGGAGTATTGGAGTGCCACTGCTAAGTGCCACTGTTCAGGTAGGGCATTTAAATATATTGAGTTAGTTATTGTGTCCCCAAGGAATAAGACAGGGAAACAAAAGCACATATGAAACAGTCAGTGCAGTAAGTCCTTACCCACAGAGTATTCTCCTACAAGGTACTCTTTAACCTCTGACTTGCTGCTGCTGTGCACTGTTTCCAGGGCACTGAACAGGGGTCTCCATCCTGACTGGATCTGGGTAGAACACATTTCCACCAACTCTCCTATAGAGGTGACCACCTGCAGACAGTGTAGGTGAGGTTAAAAGAACAAAACCAAAAACCAGATCTGATACATAGATGGACCTTCAGAAGGAATGAGGATGGCTTTAAACACATTCCTAGATTTCACTGTGTCAGTCTAGACTCATTTATTATCTTTTTTTTTAGAAAAAGTTTAAATAAAATAGAAATTTATTAAATAAATAAAACAGAAAAGTTTTGTTTAATTGCTTTAAAGTCAGGTGTACTGTCTCTGTGCTCTACCACAATGCTGGCTTAGGTAGGCAGAGCCCTTCTGATTCCCTGAAGATGATTAAGGGGCACCATTCGAAGGGAATTTGGGAAACACTCAAGTGGATCAAATGCACTCTGGAGACCATCCTTCTTATGGGCGTGGTAGGCCAGATACAGACACCCTGATCAGGGCTGACTTGCCTGGTCTTGGACATCCTCATCACACAGCTCTAGCTGCATAATACGCTCAAAGGGGCGGAAAAGTGCCTCATTAAAGTGAAAATGAGAAGGCTCATTCCAGTCTGTCAGCACTTCAGTGAGGATGTCATGGATGAAGGAGACAGCTTTCCGAGACACGTGTCTCTCCTTATGACAGGCAGCCTGCAGGGAAAGAAGGAGTATTAGAGTTTGTCCAAGCAAAAAATTTGCTTTTAGTGAGACACTTTTAAGGGAGGTAAGCACCTCATGCTGCTGAACCCTAAAAACAGCTTCACCACTAACGTGACTAGGAACCCCACTGCAATGAAAATGGGAGAGTACTGCCATGGAAACAGGTGACAGACTCTGAGCTGCTTGGTGTTCCACAGATGCATGAAGGTTTGCTGACAATTCAAAAAGCACAGAGCTAAAAATAAATAAATTAAATAATAAAACCCACAGAACAGAACTCATGTGAAATGCAGTCTTTTGTTTCTACTGTGTGACCATCTTTCCCTTCAAAAGGTAGTTTCTGCATATATTCACCATACCTATCTATGCATGATGAAATGTCACTTTTTATTTGGTTATTTATGAAACTTAAAGTGAGAAGGTTCTCATCACTTTTGGAAGAGCTATTAAAAAATTAAACACCAATGAATCTGGATATAAAGTTACTGTTTTGAGCAACTATGCAGGTTATGCTAAATTCTGTCCTACCCCTGATGTTGCTCCTTCCCAGTAATGCCCTCATCTGCACTGAAATCAACCAAAAAGACTGACCAGCCCTGCATTCTAAAAACATGGAAGGTACCTGAGTTTAAACTGGCTTGGGATCTTAAAAGACTTAAAAGCGTTCAAAACATAAGAAGTATTTAAAGTGGTCTCAGGCTGGCATCCAAAGGCAAGTGAGACACTAGTTTTCAAGATAAAGGGCTGTTAAAGCATACAACAAAACTATTCTTTGCTATTTCCACTTCACTTACAGGGATTCCACTGAGACTCCCCAATGTCTGAACTCTGCTGTAAGATAGTCCACACATTTTCTTGAGTCAATGAAATGAAGTGCTATGACAATTTACTAACAGCTCATCTTAAAACTTGAGAGGCATGCTCCCAATAGACCTGGGCCGATGATACCACATACCTCACCAACAGAAAGAAAGGAAGTATTGCACGTTTATTCATACCAACGATACAAATCAAAAACCTCTGAGAAGTCAAGACACCAGCATTTCACCAGGCAAGACTGAAAGTTTGGTTGAGGAAAGGTAGTTTGTTATTACTGAAATCCATTATGTGGCCACTACTGGCATACCACTGACCAGGGCTCACAAGGAAGGAGAAGGAAAGGGAAAAATATCACCATCTTCCCAGCTGAGCTGGCTTTACGTGGGAGAAGAAAGCCTGCATCCTTTTATGGGAAGACTTGCAAGGATGCAGACCTTGACTGGGAAAATAGGTAGACGGAGGAGTTACTTGTAACCTCTTAGGGTGCTTTCAGTTCTTTCACCACAGACACACAGGAAGTATCATATTGCAAAAATCCAACACACTGTCCCTGGACCTGCCCATTTCAGTTATTTAAAAGTGCACTCCTCAGTGGCAGTATCACAATATATGTCACAGTATATACAATACCCCAACAGGAGTGTAACCAGATTTGGCAATGTTGAGGGTCTATCAAGCCTTCTCCAGCTTTTTCAGCTTTGCCACCTCTTGCACAGATTCCCATTTTCTCCCCCACTCCTACCTCTACAAGGTGAGGTGCCACCAGGCTCCAGCAGCGCATGAGGTGGAGCAACGGGCGAGATTTACTCCTTACAATTCTGAGCATGGCATCACCAAGCCGGAACAAGTGAAGTGCGCTTCTCCTGTCCTGGGTAGATTTTACTTCACCTACAAGAAAGTATAAGAAAATAAATGGAAGCTAAGCAGCTCCTCAATCTCTAGATGTCTAAATTGGAATTTAAATCAGGTTAGAAATTACTACTATTCAGTTTGGGGGGGAGGGTGGTAGAGGCAAAAAAAGAAAAAAAGAAAAAAAGAAAAAAAGAAAAAAAGAAAAAAAGAAAAAAAGAAAAAAAGAAAAAAAGAAAAAAAGAAAAAAAGAAAAAAAGAAAAAAAGAAAAAAAGAAAAAAAGAAAAAAAGAAAAAAAGAAAAAAAGAAAAAAAGAAAAAAAGAAAAAAAGAAAAAAAGAAAAAAAGAAAAAAAGAAAAAAAGAAAAAAAGAAAAAAAGAAAAAAAGAAAAAAAGAAAAAAAGAAAAAAAGAAAAAAAGAAAAAAAGAAAAAAAGAAAAAAAGAAAAAAAGAAAAAAAGAAAAAAAGAAAAAAAGAAAAAAAGAAAAAAAGAAAAAAAAAAATCAATGTAAAACAGCCTGTGTATGTAAAAGAACAGGAGATGGACCCAAGTTTTAAGAACAACTTATTAAAACACACTTTATTTTAAGTGATCTTTTTTTTTTGGCAAATATTTTAAAGACAAAGGCTTGGAGAAGTAGTGCAGAAAAGTTAAGCAAGGAGTTAAATAATTGATATTAAGACCCAAAATAGTAGTTGCAAAAACCTTTGGTGACATCTACAGGAAAGAATATAAACTGCAAATTATTTAGTTTTGGTTTGTCCTTTTGTATTTCTTATCAAGCAAAGGATACGAAGCAGAGAATGTGAGAAAATACTTGTCTGTTCCCTAGCCAGTAATACTCGTTATTTCCTATTTGAAAGGGATTCATCTTCCGTTGTCCTTAAAACATTTGGAAAGACACTTCATTCTCTCATTTAAAATACGCTGGTGCTTTTATCTCTAACAAAAGACGTAATCAGGGGGCATACCACTTTTCATATGAAAAAATAAAAAAGGCAATTAATTGCTCTATCCTAATTTTAATTCATTATTACTAACTACTGTTGATTGACTACTACATACGTGATAAGAGGATCGCTATTTATTAAAAATAAAGTGATGAATGTTGAGGCCTGGAGACAAGCAAGAGCAAAAACCAAACAACCTGAAGTGTCACATTGACAAAATGACAAGTAGCACTTCAGGGAGAGGGGAAACCAATTAAATTGGAGACATATACCAGATAAAATCCACGTCTGCCACAGGACAGAACAAAGCCCATATGACTAATGTAACTTCTAAAGGCACAGTACAAATTTAAGTGAAATATCTTCCTTTGGGTCCAATCCTTCTGCCCTATTTGAGACAGTGATGGAAATGACAATTTACAGGCTTTATAGTGTAAGGTATATGCTCCACTCTGCTAGGGAAGAGCAAGCAGGAAAAATCCCACTGCTGTATTTAACATTATTCAGTTGTGTGCTTTGTTTGCTATCACCCATTTTCCAAACGCTTCTGAGGTTATCCCACTGTCAAATGTCTAACCTAAATCCACTGTCTTAGGTCTATGTTCACCTGTGTTTCCTTATTGGATCGGACTCCAAAATGGAGCTGTGATTAAATATCTGTGGATAATTAACACCCCCAAAGTCCAAGAACCAAATGAATGTCCTCTGAAGTGTTTCATAGCAGGTGTGGATGTGGTCCCTGTCCAAAAAAAGCGCTCAACCTTTTCTAAAGACTTTGAATTGCTCCTACAGAAAGATCTTATCAGACTAAACACTGTGTTTTATTTATACCTTGACATTTCAGTTGGAAAAATTAAAACTGTAAGAATACAAAGCAAGTCCTGTAAGCAGTACAGTTGTATATGAAACACAGAACTCTGTAAGGGATCTTCAGGCTATTTACCTGGCATTGCTAGGGAGTAATCAACTGTATCTGTGACTGAATGGAAAAGCTGGGCCTGAGAAGCCTTCTTGAGCTGGTAAAGGAAGCCTGCTAATGCCATCAAGTTTAACTTGTCAGCAGCATCTTCAAAGAGCCTGTGAGTAAAAGAACAGAATCTAATTGAAAAATTCAGGAAATGCAGACTTGAATGTGTATGTAAGAGGAAAACCCTTATCTGTACATGGCTGCCATGTGCTGCCTTTGGTGACACATTGGGTTATCGAGGACTTTTTCACTTACACAGTGCTACAGAAAGACTTTGATCCAGAAGCTATATTAATTGGTGGGTGGAAAGTAGAGTGCTGTAGGACCAACCAGAGACCTTCCAAGATTCAACTGCAGTACTAAAACAAAAAGTCACTTTTTTAAGGAATCGACGCTTCCCCTTTACTGTACCTTAATGCTATAAGCAGTTCATGAACCAGTAATCAAAAAACCAGTGAGAATATGCCCAGTCCTCACGACACAGATCATGACAGCTTCACTGACTTTAGAGTTACACCAGTTTGCTTCATCTGAAGTTACAACCCCTTACATGAAAAACAAATTAATTCAAGTCTTAGACCTAAAGTTGCTGTACCTGATTTGCTATTTAGGAATATAAACAAGAGTTGTTATTTTCAGCTGCAATGAGCTCTTAAGATTTAAGAGTTAAAATTTGTACCCTTAAAGCAGTAAATTTATGCTTACATAGGAGGTGGGTTCCACAGAGATCATAGTGAAGCCACAAGTTGACACAAATATGATTTTCTGACATTGCTTTTCATAAGAAACTTTCTATAGTCCTGGGAAACTGGTGATTGAGTCCTAATAACGTCCGCACTGAAGTAACAGTGCAAAAATCAAACCTGCATCATTAAAATTACAGTACTTCTACTCTCTAATCCTCGGAACCACGCTGTATTGTGATCCCCCTGAATAAAAGGTACTTTCCATGCACAGAGTCAAACTCCTACAAGCAGTGTCAGTATGCATACTTCTTCCTCTGAATTTACAAATAATGCCCTCCTATGGGCAGAGATCAAGAATGCAAAATGTCAGCTGGAGAAAAAAAGGTATTAGAAGCATGCAAACCCAGGAAATTTTCAGCTCTAGCCTGGGCTGCCGAAAGAATAGCAGAAATAGCAAAAAAATCTGACGTATCAGCCTGCAGACCGTGTTGTAGGGACATGTAAGCTAGCCATTCTGTGACAATGCTTGGTGGCCCTTCCTCCTCCGGACATACTGGGGCAGGCTGACAAGCTGTCCACACAGTCCTGACAGAAGCAGCTGCTTTCTAACTGACACTGGTCTTGTCACTCAGTCCTTCCTGTCAGGACAAGACACCCACTTGTTTTGTCTGCTTTAATGAACATAACAGATTAACTTACATGCAAGCAATAAATCCACCACTCTCAGGATGCATTTGATTTACTTGGCATATTCACTATTGTGCACATACTCAGCCCAGTACCCGCAGGGCAGGTACTGCAGAGATGCAGAAAACCAGGTCTTTTAGGAACTGCTGGTTATGACACACACACAGCTCTTTTGTGAAACTCCACTGAAGCAAGTGGCTGCAACAGACAAAGATCAAGCCCCACTGCACCACAGAAAGTTCCCCTTTGGTCCTGTTTTGGGAACAGAGATTCTGGTTCCTGACAGCGCTGCTTTTACCTGTCAGCTTGCGTGGAGAGTGTGAGAACAGCCTTAGCAGCACTGGTCCCACAGAGCAGGCTGCCTCCACGGAAGTCAAAAGCTCTGCCCTTACTGCTCTCTTTGATGAGTTCCTGGATAGAAACCGGCTGAATGACAGGATTGCCGCTGAGGGTGGTCTCTTGCTCTGGGGTCAGTGTCTGGGGAGACTCCCCAGGCTCAGAGTCTGGGTGCAGCCCTCCAGGTGCCTGCTGTGACTGGGTGATGGTAAGGGAGGGCTGGGAAGCACCGTCACTGAAGTGGGTGTGCTCCAGTGTGCTGATGTACTCACACACCCTGAGAACAAACAGGAGAAGCAAAAGATGAATAAAACCCTCAAAACAACTCCTCCCCCCACTAATCACCAGGCTTACTGAAGAAACGCTTGGGTCCGTACTCCAGAGGTGAGTCAGAAGGATAGTGCAAGTACAGCTCTCGGCTGCCTCACAGCCCCATCACTGTAAGAAGCTTGCTTACATGGAAACCCTCTGCCAATTCACAGGCACTGATTTCTACATCTGAACCAGATATGATGCACAGGACATTTCCCTCAAACTGTAAACAGATGATCTCTAACTCTCAGACTACACATAGATAACCTGTCTTCTTACATCTTTTGGCCTCCCGTGTGCCTAGATAGCAAATAGTTTAGTGGTGGTGCCTGAAAAGCCCATTTAGGTTCCTGGGTCTGCCACAGTATTCTGGTAACTTCGAAGTTTCTAAGTGTTGATTTTGTCTCTGAACAGTGGTGGAAAACAGCACCGTCTTTTCTCTTACAGATACTGGCAGTTAATTCACTCTGACACAGTTAATACAGAATGCTCCCAGAGCATGTAAAGTCCTTTTTCTCCGTCCGTTACTTTCAGGCAACATGGTATAAATTCTGTTTCTTTTGGGAAAGCCAGTGAGTACCTGAACACATGAGGCCAACAGTCCTGATTGTGGCTTCCCATCTCCAGGCCCACGTTAAGGACTGCATCCATACACAAAACATGAGCAGTGTGCAGGCAGACTCCCTGCACTTTCCCCATCTGCTCCAGTTTCTGCTCCACTTTCTGTTTCACTGCAGCATGAAAAATAAATAAAACCATTAGCTTCTCCAGCTTTTAAACAAACACTGGTTTGTACATAGGGTGATGGCAAAGGTATACAGTCTGAAAACTATAAAAGAACATGGATTTTAGACAAAAAACAGATCAGAGAAACCCATTTCTTCCTAAAAACATAAGGCAGTTTAAAAATCAAAATCCCTTTGGACCGGTCTTACATGCATGAAAAGAATCAATGCCAGATTAACACCCTCCACCCCCAAATTCACATCTTGCGGCCCACAGAACAGATGCAGGTTGCCAGTGATATTACATGTTTCTCTTTGGAGCTGGCTGGCTTGATATTTGTTTATTTTTACCGAAATCTCCTTTGCTAGGGAAAAAAAAAAAAGAGTTTGCCGTTTTCACATCTATTTCCATGCAAAAGTTTCACCAAAGAGCTTTTGTTAATGCATACTCTTGTCAAAGCAAAACTAATCCTGAGCTGAACTACAAGCATTTGGATCTCATTCTTTTTCCTGAGAATCTCTGAAAAGCTTAGTTTTCATGCTGCATTGGAAGGGAAACAAATTTTGAAGCTTTGCAAGCTTTCATAGAACAGATCTGTTGGCCTCTGGCCACCGCTACTGCCTCCTCTTTGCTTCAGCATGGCCTGGCCAACTCGCTTCGGTCATATCTAGCAGAGCGGTCAAAAGCTAGTTTGTGCTCAGGCCTATTCAGTTTTGTTTTCTCTACTGAGACACCAAGTTTCAGTGCCAAGCAGGGTCATTTGTGCAACGCTGTGTTTTGTTATGGGCTTCTTGCCATTAGAAATTAGATGTCATCAGACACATTTTATGCGCTTCTCCAAAGAGCCACTGGAGACAACAATTGACTTTACTGACTTCCACTGTGTTTGAAGTAGTGGTATAGCGATGCAGAACTTTTTACATGTTATACATATATCATTTTTTTATTCCAGCTTCATTTAACATGATTCAGAAACAGTTTTAAATATCTGATGATGACAAAAGACAACCAAGGATGTACACACAAGACAGAGGGAGGGACGCAAACTCAGCTTATATTACTACCCAACACATTAAAAAAACATATTCTTTCTCTGATGCCCTCTGTGGTACTAGTATCACAAGGCTTAAAAAGTGCCCATTTCAAAAATGCTGTTGGCTTACCTATTGTGACATAACGTTAAGAACCTAGGACAGCAGGACATGTACTGAAGCCTCTAGACATACATCCCACATGCCTACAAGCGAGTGGTGCACAGTACTGGCATTCCCCTCTGTCCTTCTTCTATGTGTAGCAAAGTACTTTCCAGTTGCGTCTTTGCAGGCAATATGAGATAAGGTAGGTAATTTAATCACATAGTTACCTTGAGCTATAGTATCACTGGGCTCTTGGATTTCTTTTTCCTCTTTCTCTTCTTGGACACAGGAGGCAGCAGCCATTTGGGCAAGAGCAGATGCACAGTTAGCAGCAACTCCTGCAAAGCAACAGCACAATTACTGTTTAACCGGCATTTCCTCCCCAATCCCATGCAACCTCAACAACAGGTTGTGTCAAGGAAAGTTGGTTGGATATGTCTATGCTGTAGGGCAGGTGGGCTCTATGGGTAGTCCTACAGTCCAGGTTCCCATTCAAGACTGGAACAGGATGCTGCTTTTCTCTCTCCCAAATTCCTTCAAGGAAAGTTACCATCCTATTTTATGAGTCTGCCATGACATCCCACATGCAGCCGTACCTAGAGCACAGCTCAGCCGGGCTGCCCTCCTCAGTCCATCCAGGCTCACACAGATGGAGTCCTTCTCCTTTTGGTTCTGCTCCTTGGCTCCTTCTGCTCCCAAGATGAAGGCCAGCCCCTTGGAGCTGCCTGCCATGCGGCCAGTCAGTGGTGTGGACAAAGTATCAATCAAGTTCTTCCAACAGCCGATTAAAAGGTATCGGGCAAAAGCAACTCCTGGAGTGATAAATACATTACTACTACTACTGGAAAATGACACAACAGCAGCTTTATCATCAGTGGTAAAAAATCAAGTCCTCTTCATGCTGGACTACCAATTCACGTGTAGGATGTACTGACATATTTCCCTCAACCCTTAAATTGTTCTTCTAAAATACAATCTATCTGAATATGCTTATGGTGTGTAACAACCCACTCGTGCTTATGATACAGTCTTAATACCTGCAACAACAGAATCATCTGTCTTCCGGTTTTGGGAAAGAGGAGATTGAGCTGAAGCAGATGCCATCAATTGGCCACCAATTGCACTGCTTCCCAAGCCATCGATGTCTGCCAGGACATTAAAAAACAACAGATTACTATTTGACACACAGATGGTATAAGGAAAGCATCTCCTGCTGGCTCTTTGTTCAAATAAGTACTAGTGCTCCTGACTTCTCAGGTATGCTTTTTAGTTGCTCTTTTCTGGCAGCCTTCTGAAACCTTGGCATAAACATGAGCTGCAGCATCTTATGATCTGCCCCATATAACCAACGTTTTCTTGAAGATGGGAAATATCCCACCCTCAAAAGCTGCACGCCCCGCCCTCGAAGTTATACAGTCAACAGAACTCTCAGCAAAGATTTCATGGTATTTCTTACAGTTCAGAACTTCCCACACGCTTAAATCTACACGTTTCTTAGTATAACCTTTCAAATCTTGCTAAATCCTATATCTAGATTTTCCCAGACCTCAGTCTGAGTCCTCAATTTGCACCGGGATTCTATGTCCTAAATGCGATTTTTAGTAGACCTATGTAGGTTCAATCTCAACAAAAGAAATACAACCTTTTCTCCAACACAACAAAAGACCAGCTTCTCACAGAGAGTTTAATGTTAGGGACATCAGGTTGATTTCCTTTATAGCAGCCCCTGTCTGTCTGTCTCTTCTCCACATACTTCATGGCTATTGTTTTTCCAAAATGTTTCTTTCAGCTTCCCAGCTCAATAGCTAAAAGCAACACTGAGCTCAATACAATCAGCAAAAAACTTTCAGAGCAGTGCCCTTTGATTACCAGTTAATGGCTCAGCTGAAGCCAGTGTTCTCCCGGCATACACTTTTAATTACCTCTGTGTAATCATACAGTATACACATTCAAGCAGACAGCGTATTTTATATCAAAACAATATCATAGACATCCTGCTGCCTCTCAGCTGATACCATTTGATTTTTTCCTCAAATGAAGCTAAGGACTGTTTTGAAGAATTTTTTAGAGGGGCTCCAGGTTTTCAGCTTCTCTCTAGCGCCATTTGGCATATCCCTGGCATAGCACAAATCTGAACCAAGGGGAGCCCAATCTGTGGAAGGCTTCCAGGATCAGATGCCACTATTTACATTTGTACTGCACCACAGGCACACTGAATGGCTTTGCTATGACATCAAGAAAACGGCAGCCTTACCACTTATCATTAACAGGTACCAAGTCTACCAGAACTGAAGATGACAGAGTTAAGAGATGTTTTGGTTCAGTGAACAAATTTACTCTCCCTGTCTCCCAGGGACGGTTTGTTTTTAAACCCATGCTTCAAAAGCTTTCTGTCTGATCCAAAACAAACACTTAAGTACCTGCCACAGTTAAATCTGATTCCTTCTCTACCAGTAATTTTGTGAAACACCACATGTTGCATGATGACATGCTGTTCTGTATGTAATGCAATGAAGCAGCATGTTAATGTAGCTTGTTTCAGACACGTGTTTGGAAGTTAGCCTTGCCACCATAACGTAGTACTGACCGGTCAGCATGGTGATAAGTGGAAGGCTGTGCTCTTCAGGGCTTCCCCAGTATCCAGCTTCCCCCAGCATGTTCCTTTCTAGTACCTGGTGGTACAGTTCTTCAACCCAGGCCTGGGAAAATACCATCAACACTCCACTGGACTGGACCTGCTTCATGAACTCCTTCTGCAGAGAACCATAAAAGCCAGATGTAAGACAACAGTAAGCTCTACAGCATGAGCCTCAGCCCCTAGATCTACTCCTGAGCGTAAGGGAATGCAGGAGTAGAAATGAAGTTATGCAAAAATAAGAATTAACCAAGGATCGCAATGTGTGTCTATGGTGGAGAATGACACGAACAAGGAGCTTTCCCTTCTCTTATTGCAGTTCATGCAAGACGCAAATCATAATGACAGTTCTTGCACAGTGACAATGGGACATGCTGATCTCTCACTATTTCTACAAGGTAGGGGTAGGATCTCAATTCCAATAAAATAAGTTGTGGCACCTAATGCTGCCTGTCCAACAATCAGGCCCTTCTGCGTTGAACAGTCACCACAGGTGAACTGGGGTCCAATTAGATATCTTAACTATTTTCAACAATACTTAGGCCATGCTCAGGCCTGTTGTGCACAGTGCTGCCCCTACAGAAGGTCCTGAGTCACAGACTTGGTCTCGCAGCTGCTGAAGAACATACCAGAACTGATGATGATGATGTTAAAACCCACTTGTTTCTGAGATCTTCTAGAATATAAATTCTCTTACATGGGAAGCTCAGCAATAATGGTACATTTTGACAGAATTTTTTTGTTTTTCATTTTTTTGTTCCATATATCACCGATTATTTTATTTTTAGGAAAACTGTGAAATGACTTCTCTTGGGTAACTTATTTGAAAAACATAGATTAATGTTTTATAAGTCCTGCAGCCTTCAAAACAGTTTTTAAAAAGCCCAAGAAGTTGAGGAATCCCAGGTGCCACAAAAATCATCAGTTCATATTACTAAAACCTAACTATTTTTCACTCTAACTTCTCATGTCTTCATCTGCATAAATACAAATCACGTGTTAAGCAAGAAATTTGTCATTATGCTCAAAAGTAGTTGCAAGATGAAGGTATGTCCCCTGATAACGTGCACGAACAATACTTGCTGCATCACATGATGCTGATGAAGCTCTGTTCTGAAGATAAGAGTATCCATCAAAATGACTGCTACTTTAATGATAATCAGTAAGCAGCATTCATTCCTCCCCAAATTACAGAGAAGCTGTGTAATTCAGATGCATGACATTTATTGTGCAAGATTCATAAGCAGCTTGGAGAAAGCTTCATTTGCAATTATTATTTCTCCACTTAGCAAGCAGCCTGAAGGCTTTACATGTGGGCTGTTTTATGTGAAAGGAAGCAAAACAAATTTTATTTTTTTTAACAGTTTTCCTATATTCCCCAACTCACCAGCAACACAGGGGCTTGGGCAGGCTTCTTCCTGTAGTAATCCGAGTTGGCCAATTTTAGGTTGAGCAGCAGAGTGTAATGTGAGACCATGTAGAGACTATCTGCATTCATCAGAGTCTGGAAGCTGAAATTTAGGCTTCCCTCAAATCCTGGTGAGTGCATCATACCTAACAAAAACACCATGTGAGCTCTCACATTTTACACAGATTTTGCCTGGAAAAAAAAAAATCAGAAACTAACCCTAGCATTTCAGCAGCAACAGATTGCTAGAATAGTTAATGAATCATCAGTAGAAATTACTCTACTAAATGTACCAGAATAGGGAATAGAAAAATAAGTAGTCCATCTAGAATGCAGTGCTGCAAGTCAAACTGAACACTCCAGTCACAGTCCAGCAAAACAACATGCTAAATTTGAAATACACAAGGAGCACCGGCATTCATTGGGATGACTGCCAGGTACCAAAAAAAAGGCAGGATACATCTGCAATGCTAACTGGAAAGGTGAGGTGGGAAGGGGCAGAGGCAAAGCCTGCATACTTAACTGAGCATACATTGCACCAAATGGTGCTAATGAGGGTGACAGCCCTTTTAACCCCCCAGTAAATCTGTCCTGGCTAAGTGAGTTGTTGGATGGGGACTGGAGTGTTCAGCGCCTTGTAGGATCAGGCTGTAATCATCATTCTCTCCATGGCCTAGAGGTATGTGGACAAATACTTCGGGCCAAGCTGGCTGGAACTCGTTACAACTCCAAGCCCTGTTTAGTTCATACAAGACCTGCTTTCTAGATAGCTGAGCACTTGCAGGTTTGTCAGACCCATAAGCCACCTGTAAGCGCTCAGTACTACTGAAAACGCTATTTGTATGAAACGACAGCCTACAACCATGCCCAGTGGCACAATCCCTTCTTCCCAGGTAGGATGGACGGCACATACGTTTTCCTCTGAGTTAGCTGACCTACTGGTAGAAAAACATAAATCAAGTATGAGCAATACCTAATTGAATCCCCATGATCTGTAGTTTGAGCCATGAAAAAACCAGAAATATTAGACCCCCCCACATGACCCACAACGTTTCATGGTTTTCACATCAACTGTGAAATCCATTCATATAATGTCAATTAGGTAAGATTAAGGAGTAAGCTTTATCCTAGAGGAATGTTTGAAATGAAACAAAAAACCAGCTTCCAAGGTTAGTTACATGATGAAGTAAGCTGTGTCATTTGTTAACTGCTGCAGTGGTTTACTGTGAATATATTCCTCCCACCATAAAGCTCATGCCTCTTCTTAGACAAAATACAACAAACCATTAACATTAAAAAAAAAAATCCACACACAGAAAAGAAGCAAATGTTTTTCTTGCCTCGTGAGGGTTTGAAAGCTCTGTGCTGCTGCCTTCTCGGACTTTCCACTGTCGTCACTTTGGGGGCGTGGATAAGGTGAGTAACTGTTTGAGGGCGGATTTAGAAAGAGAGTAACTGTTCCAGGGTGGGTCTAAAAAATGAATAGCTGTTCAAGGGAGCAACCTTTGTGGAAGAGGGGTGATAGGGCTGGCCACAAACCATACGCACACGGGTTGGCGTGTGCTTGGGGTAGATTTCTCGTGGTGAACGTTAACAGAGAATCTTTACCTAGCACCAAAACTGCAACCACGTGCTTGAAAGTAGCCTGTGAGTAGCTCCAGTGACTCCTTCATCACTGAAGGCAAAGATGCATCTTAACACTTTGTTGGATGGAGTATCATGATATTGATGTAGCTAGAATACATTGATTTGATGCCTCATCTCTCTTAACTATGTACCTCAGGGACTAGAATCTCCTAGAGTAATAAAAACCTCAAGGCAGAGAGGTACATAAAAGAAAAAAAAAAAGCCCACTATCTTTTGCATTAAAATATTTAAAAAAACTGTGCAGCCTCCTATACAAGACTACAATTAAAAAGGAAGGTGTATAACTGCACATAAAAGTGGCTACTACATAGTGGGTATGTATTTGAGCACCCAAAAGTGTTTGGGAAAAATATGGTCCCTAATTTCCTCTAAAATATGGGAAAATAAACAACTGCATTTGAGAGGTGCTGAGATCTCAAAAGCAGATTAGCTGATGCATAAACTTGCAATGATGCTTAACAACATAAAAACCTTGCCACTAAAAGCTACGGAATCAAAACTGAAAATGTTTGCTATGATTATTCACACAATGGCACACTATTTTTAGAATTAATGCCTTGACACTGCAGTTCATAAGAATAGTTATATCCAAATTAAGAGTTATGTCCAAATTAAGAGAATACCAATAATCAACTTTAATTATAAAAATCTGCCAGCTATAATAAACAATGAGGTTAGCACACTGTCTTAGCAGAGACAACAGCTTATTTAAATTGGCCAGGTAAAAGGAGGTCCTGAAAAAATGCAAACTTAAAGTTTTGTGCAAGTCAAGATAATGTTGAGAATTTTTAGATAATTCAGTATTTTTTAAGATAGACATCACACTCCAGTGTCGCTAAGGAATTTTTTGGCATTGGTTTTATCTAGCAACAAGGAGGAACTTTCTGAGGAAAGATGAAAACTGTAGACTAGGAAGGCTTTTAACCAACTGACTTCCAAATCTTAATTTCACCATAACTCTGCTTAGCTGACTTCACTTTTTCCATGCTTATACTCTCATGCCAGTGCCTCAAATTCCTACCTCCTTTCATTGCTTTTCAATCCTACGAAAACATAATAGTATTACAACACTATTTAAGGACCTAGCCTGTAGGAAAGACTACTAAATTGTAGCTAATGTATTTTTCCCCTAAAGCGTAAGAAAAATTGAAGAATGAAACAAAGCAGTTAAATAAGGTCTCTCAGAAACACAAAAATACTGCTTCTGTACTGGCTGGTCTCAGAACTGCACCTGTCTCTTTTCTCAACTCAAATCTTAACAAATACTCAAATTTCCTAATGTATTCTTCAGGAATTATACATTAATAGATGCTATACATACAATGAATAGGACCAGTTCCTCTAACTTCATCATCTAATTTGTGCGTTGAATTGTTGGTGCTAACAAAGGAGTCCTAAAGTAAGGACTCAAATGTTGCCTATAGAGGCAGATCAGACTGGTGTCTCGGAAGCTCTCCAGGGGAGTTCCTACGCCAGACGTGTTTCAACTTTAGTAAGTCTCTCTCTATACAGATCTTCAAACTCACGCCTCTCTCACCTACACAGGAACACAAGTCCTCACCTCAGGAGGACTGATGGACTTTTGCTTAAGATCTGAGGTACAAGTTAAGAGACTGTTTCAGCTGGATTGAGTCTCACACCAGGTGTCCAACTGAAACATGATCTGCACAGATCTTGTGAGAGCATAAATTACACCTCTAACAGCCACAGCTCTATGAAAACACCAGAATACCTCTTCCAAGCTATATTAATACAGTAACTTGCTACTATATTTTTCCATGATCCCTTACTGAGTGGCATCTTCTAAGAATACTTCATGAAATCAGACTGGAAACATGATATACGTTTTTTAGTACAGATTTAGCCATGGGGGTGGCTTTCTTAGAAAAGTGAAAGGTCTTCCTCAAGTCCAAGACTAGGTATCTTTTTAAGAGATGTACAACCCAGAAATTAAGGACTTAATGCAGAAATCGAGTTATATTCTTCCATTTTTCTCACTGTATTAGTCATACTGAATGACAACAAAAGCCACGTTTAGCCTTAAAATCTAGAAGTCTGTCAGGTCTACCTCTTCCAACACATGTTCTAAAGGGATTTGACAGGCACAAGAGAAAAGAAGTGGTATACTCATGCACGAGGGAACAGGTGCACAAGAGTTTGAGCTAGAGTTCTAGTCCTGGTCTTTTGGCATAACCTCACTCTTTTTCAGGAAAAAGAAATCCCTTGTGACAGAAAGGATGCTTTTGAGCACCTCAATTAGGAATGTAATTAACATTAATGTCCCCTTTAAGGTATCTCCATTCTGTGATCTAACATGGCCAATGTTTCTTAAGAATGTCATCTACCATCTTCCTGAGTTAGGGCTTATTTGAATGGCATTTAAACAGGATATCAGGAGTATCAGCTTATTCACCCAGCTTCATATCTAAATTATGTTGTATGATGATGGGAGGCATCCCTTCTGACTCTGTATGAGTTTAATGTGTGTGAGAGAGCACAAATGAATGAAGCAATGATTAGGAGAGGAGCAATAGGAAAGGCAATTGTGGTGAACTAAGTTAAAGAAACAGAGAAATATATTATAACAAACATTTCCACTTTGGCCACTGTCAGGAAAAAGAAACCCTTCTAAAAATATATATATTTATACACATTTTAAATATACTATCAACAGGACAAACTAGCCTTTGCATGGCGTTTTTTTGTTTGATTGACCAAGTCAAGATCCCAAAGGTTCTAACCCTGAAAGAACTGCAGGTATTTAATCTCTTAAAAGGTAAGATCTTTAACTATTTTTCACTTGGTCTGGGCTTTGAGCTTTGCATTTCCTGTAATGATAGATAGCAGTATTAAGAAAAACAAAAGAGTGAAGAAGAGAGTCGCTCCTCTTTTCTTTTCCTTTCAAGAGTTTACTGCTGTGGAATTTTTACCACCTTCTTTGCAAGGCTGGCATTACTAATACTAATGCAGTGATGTACTAAGCTACTTAAACCTCTTTCAAAACAGGTGATGGTCCTCCCCACACCCCTTTCATGCTAAGGGGCAACCCCAGCCTCTCTAACGACAGCATGTGCAAATCTTCTCAACAGATCCTTATCCTTTCAAGAGTTTACTGCTGTGGAATTTTTACCACCTTCTTTGCAAGGCTGGCATTACTAATACTAATGCAGTGATGTACTAAGCTACTTAAACCTCTTTCAAAACAGGTGATGGTCCTCCCCACACCCCTTTCATGCTAAGGGGCAACCCCAGCCTCTCTAACGACAGCATGTGCAAATCTTCTCAACAGATCTCCACAAACCTGTGAAGAGGTATCTTACTACAGAAAATCCGATTTCTCTGTTGACTGAGGACGTAATCCAGAGCTTGTTAAGAGTTAATGGATTGACCTCCCTTTGAATCAGTGCCTGTATATTCAATTTGCTTTGCCCTAAATGAAGTGTGCTGCTGTAGAGGAATGTGCTTTGTAAAGCACAACCCTCCTCATTCTGGATATGTTCTCTGAAGATGAAATCCTACAAAAGAATCTGCGTACAGTGCTGTCACAGTGTGCGTGCTGGTTAGACAGTAAATATTTGCTTGCAAACCTGAGCAGAAGGTTGAAGAGAAGCTCTGCAGTGCTCCATCCACCTCCTCTATGCTGGGAAGAGCTATAAGCCGAGGAAGAAGAGTTTCAAGTGACTGGATGAACAGCCGTGCACTGTGCTGGTCTGCTTCTTGGTTTTTCAGCAATTTCAGAGAGAGAGCAGCAGTACGTAAGGACCTGTGACCTGGACAATCCCGTGGCATCTGCTCCTCGTCAGCCAGGGAGCAATTGTCAGAGCCTATGTCTGAGACATCTGACCTGCCTGAGTCCTTCTCTGCTGCCATGGAATACTGATCACATGAATCAAACTCAGTCCTAGAAAGATCCTGGTCATCTACACTGAAGTTACTTTCACTGTATCTGGATCCATAGGACCGGGTCTTGCAATCAACTGATAAGAAGTTAGTTATATCTGGATAGACTATGGTGTGGCTTCTCTGAACAACATCTGGCTGGTCGATGGTTTCTGACTCTGGTTCTCTGTAACGTATCTCTTTGCTTTCGTGTCCAGCTGGAGATGGCAGTGAGTTTTTTTGACTTTCTGGGTTATCCTCTGGAGTTGTCTGTCCCATATCCCCTTCCAAAGTGGTCTGACCAGTGTCTGTGGTAACGCTAATGCTAATATCAGGACTCTTCTCATTTCCTGATTCCCAGGCAGGATTTTCTGAGGACAGGATGCGCCTCTGCCACCTAAAGTCGGCATCATTGATCTCCATGGAGTCCCTGCTCGTCTCAGTCCCATCCTTCAATTCTTCTAAGCGCCGGAGCAGCAGCTGGATCTGCTCTTCACTAAGGCCCCTCCCTTGGCTCAGCTCATCTAATGCTCCAAGCAGGGCAAAGACGCAGGACACTGAAGCATAACATGCTTCAATACCACCTTTGATGCACGCTTCTGTCATCCCGTCCATGATACTAAAATTAAAACAGTTTATTTAAGTGATGCAGCACATACAGTGAGCACGTCACTATTATCCAACACCATTCCTCCATAACCAGTAAAAAAAGAAGTGAAATTATCCTGTAAGACTACTCCTGAGAAAGACAACTAGTATCAGAACAAATTATTATGTCTCCCATGTGGACATGGACATTCTGTGAAGGGAGTGCCAACCAGGGAAACAGTTACTGTGCCTTTGTAGCAGCATGCATGGCATGTTTTCCCTTACAGACAAGCACTTACACTGAAAAAAGCCTCAACACCCAACTGAAGCTACATTTAAAGCCATCTGTGTCCTGAAAATTATCTTATCTACAAGATATGATCTTTATAAGAACTGAGAATCCTTCTTGCTCAATCTGACAATGTTTAAATTTTTGATTACCTCCTTTGACGTCATCTTGGAAATGTACCTCTAAATAAGCACACAGTTATTTCAGTGCAAGGTTAGGGACCCAAACACAAGAATTTCCAGCTGTAAACCAACATATTTAGGTATTTTGGCAAACTCCACAAGGTAGTTTTCTATGCCTTTACAAACAGGCCCAGACTGATGACAAACCAGTAAGAGCTTTTACCCCTCTTCCATTTTCACAGCTTATTTAACCAGGGAGATACCCTGGCTCATATTTGGGTATGCTTCTGAAGGTACAACTGTTTAAGTGTCCTGTGTGCACAGGTTTAAGAGAGAAGAGGCTACAGGAGGAAACAAAGCGTACAGCTTGAGAAGATCCAGATGGGACTTCCTTTTAGAAATAGACCTCTTCCTGGATTCTGACTCAGAAGAGCAGGGCCCTGCCAAATCACAAAGCCGCCGAGGACTGCCAAGTATCTGAAAGGAAAGGAAACAGAAGTTACTAGAGGATTATCTAAGCATTATTTAAATACAATAAATGAGTCATAGTTCTCTCAAGCCCTGGAACCCGAGGTAGCAGTACTGTAATTTCTCACAGCAAAGGAAAACAGCACACTGATGTTTTACTTACTAAAGCTACCTTTCCTCTTTTTAAGGGCAGAAAAGCAGATAAAGAAGAGCAGAATATTCAACAAGAATCACATATAGAATGTTCTCCAGTGCTTTACACTTTTGACTGAAAATGTTTCAACTGATACCGCACACAAGACAATCTTTATGCCTAAATATAGAGCAAGTATCTTGCATTATATTATATACACCAAAGGGAGCCTTTCTCTTCAGTCACCCAGTTACAAAGTGATAGAGTCATGCAAAGATAAGCAAAGAGATTCCTTCTGACTCAACCTGCCGGGTGACATCCTGTTAATGTCCACCAGGAAATACAAGGAGAAGGCTTTACAAACAAGCCCATATTAATAAGCAGAAAGAGGCAACAGATATGTCCTGCAGGAAACAACATTAGACTGAGCTTTTCCTAAAACTTCAATTGTCATCTTGCTATTGTTTAAAATTAGAGGAAGACAAGTGCCAGGGTGACTACCAGTTCAGACAACAACCCAGTGGGTGGCTGTGTGGTGGTAGGAGAGATCTTCAGACACAGAACAGCCTAGGTACATGCAAGCTAGAACAAAAATCCTCTGACAGAGATCACTGTTCCTACAAATCACGTAAGTTGCTTTGTGTTCCACATGAGAAGAAGGCTGCACATGTGAAATGGAAAAGCCCATGATTTCAGCTGCTGCTCAAAGAAGTCTCAAAATGTTCCAGTTCTAGTGCTGTCAGAGGCACTGGCCAAGAGGCCAGAATGGACTGGTCTTGACATGGCCACTTACGACATTGGCAGCTTTCTTGTGGCTATTCTAATAAAGCTCAAGGAAACTGTATTTCAAAAACCTGGCACGTAATCAAAGCACATATTCACCTTAATGCCTGGAATACTACAGTGTGAAGATGAATGTCTCCTTCTAGCAAGAGCAGAGAGTGGGGAAAGATGCCAAAGAAGTTGAGAACTGGATCACTATACTGTATCTCACCCAAAAGAGCAGTCATGACTCAGTGATAAGATCTGCTCTACACAGTACCACAGCATGAACACTGACGGAGTTGTCATAGCAGCTTGTGTTATGGAGACAAATATAACTATTACGACTTTGTAAAACTAAAAATATTTATCAGAGTGGCTTTGATGTAAACAGCTGTGCTCAGAAAGGGTGATTTCAACATCCCTAGTGCTAAGGTATGGAATGGACTGGGATGCACCTATCAGCAACATTTACTGTTAAATAAACATTTTGCTTTACATGCCTGGATTTGCACATGCGATTACCCTACCTCTTTCATAATTTTGATGGCTTCTACTCGGTGCTGAGGTGGTGGGTAAAGCAGTATCCGGTGATAGAGAGACTGCAGCACAGGCTTCATGGATTCCACTGACCCCACCAGTCGAACCAGTTCTGCTGCAATATAATATATGGTCCGTGCAACTGGCCCACTAAGGGCAGGTGCTGTGGAGGAACAACCTGAACCCCGGCCATGATCAGAGATCCCTGAGGAAGGTGAATCAGCCTCAAGGCAGATGCTGCTGTGGGCAGAGGTGATAGTTTTGTCATGGATTGGATTTCCCAGAATTACTACTAGGGCTGGACACAGTTGCTTCCTGAGAAAAAGAGAAAAGCAGCAGATGGTAACTGAAAAAAAAAAATCTCACAGGAACAGATTGAAAATAGCCCATGGTTAAATGAGATACACACTCTGGTTTTAATGATCAGTCAACAGCAGTGGCTAGATAGAACAACAAATTACGCCACGCATTTTTCATCTCCCAAGCATCAGCATGTTAGTACATATGGAAATACTTTTGGGTGCTTTATAAACATGGTACTGATTTTGCAAGTTCATGTTGCTGCACAGTGCTGCCCTTTACATGATAGCGTGGCTGCCTCTTTCATTGGCCGCAACCTATCACAAGGTAGAAATTCTAGGTTTCTCCTGCCAAGTGTTTCTTCTTCAGTCCAACTTGGGACCTTTAAAAAAACCTGACCAAACAAAAACCAATCTATGTTAACTAGGAGGCCTGATGTTTCATCACTGAACTGCACATGCCTGTATTTTAGAAAGCACCCTTAGTTGTGAGCCTCTGTTCTGCTGGCTTTTGAGAACGTAATTAAAGCCCTCTACAGTAACTCAGTGTGCATTGTAACTCTTCATATGCCACTATACTCTAAAAACACCGTCCTTTCTTCACTGTCTTTCTGCATGAATACTCAAGTTAAGTGATTCCACACCAGCAGATCACTCTTCTGTGGAACCAGAGCCAAACCCAACTCAGCACTTTGCTCCATTAGCTGTTATTTCAGCTTTGCACTCATGCACTTGATGTTTTACTTCAGTCTGCAAGACCCTAATTTAAAAAACCAAGTGCTGCGTGAGAATGCAGTCCCAGACCTGATTTTCACCCACATGCCTCAGAGGTTCAAGCTGGGGCCTACAGCAAGCACCCAATGACGAGTAATGATTCACCATAAAAAGTAACACATTCTTATAGGTAAGTACATCTTATTTTCTCAAGATTTTAATGCAGCCCAGAACTTTCATTGCTTCTCTTAATGTGCCTGCTAAAACAGCTCGTTTTCCTGAAGTCACAGAAAGAAAAACAGCTTTTAATCAGACATCAGACAATGACTTTGAGTCTGCTTATTCCATTTCTTTCTCCAATCAGGTACACTTCAAAACACATCAATTCACTGCTTAAGAAACGTGCCTGTCTCGAAGCAGGCATAATCACAGGTTGCAACAGCAACATATTCCCCACACATCTTAGTCCCATCAAAGTGCTTCTGTATCAAACTACGGAGAACACTGTCAGAAGAACACAGAGCTAAATCTTCTGTCTCCTCCCTTCTTTATCTTCTGTTGAGAACTGACTACAAAGTGCCAGCCAGAGAGAAAGTTGTGTGCATGTAGGCAACAGCTCCTTAAAGAACACAGACAACTATCAGTTTGGTACGCAACTTCACTAGACAGCTAATGGATTAGTGTGTACTTATGCTGCAATATATTCAAAATGATGTTTGCAGTTTAAACTGTTTCATGTCTTCCTAGTGGCAGTTTTGTTTTGGTTTTCCCCCCTCCCACACTTCATCTTAAGCATGTAGCTGGAGGATGAATATTCCTTGGCAGCAATGCAGGTTAAGAAATCCTGCCCCTGATGGCTTGCCCTCATGATACACAGTTACAAATACAAACACCTGTAGATTTGCAGTGTAAACTGGATCATGAAAATGATGTAAATTTAAAATAAAACAGGAAGCATTTTCTTTTAACCGAGATCATTTCAGTGACCTTGCTTATAGGATGGCCCCACAGTCAGTCACATAAGCATAAACAAAGGGTTGGGTGAAATTCAAGGGCAGAAACTTCTGAAATGGGTTTGCCATGAAAGAGAGAATTCTGCTCTTACGTTAGAGCTCCCAGAGGCCTCAGCACAGGGTCTCTATGCAACACTGCCAAGTGTTATCAACCTGAAGACCCTCCAGTCCAGCAGCCACTGATTTTCCTGGGACAGCAAGGGAAATTATGGGTGCCTCTGCATGTTGCATCCTTAGAATTGGGCCCAAGTCAAACACTTCCATTTCAAAAATTACAGGGTAAAAGCACAAGAAACACATCTGTCATTAACAGTCACATATATCTTTTCTTAACACAATCACCCGCCAAGGTCACAGGATGGGCAGGGACTGCAAGGAACTGCATATTAGTTACATTCTTGCTTTATTACTATGACTCAGTTATCCATATGCTATAAAAAAAGCACTATTGCAAACAAAATGAGGGAAAAGGATTATTTCAGGTGCTCCAAGGTGATGATATCAAACAATTTAGAGGTAGATACGAACACTAAAGACATCATGCCTTTCTGGTGAAGCGTATTAAAAAGAGGATTTCTTGATAAAGTGGAAGCACCACAAAGGCCATTTAACCTCAGCCCTTATACAATGCAGGTCATAAGCATTTCTGGTCACCAGCACACCATCTGACATTAATTCTGCTTATCTTCCTGTAGTACTGCATCAGAGCAGTAAGAATCTCTACAGCACCCTCCTAGGGTAAGCAGAATATTTGCGTGTTTAATGCCACACACAAATCCGAACAATTGCAGAAAGCGTAAGAGATTTTCTGTTCTGGCTAAATAAATTAGACTTCATTACAGTGATAATTCACTACAGGGATTTAGTGTGCTAGCTGAGCATGAGGTCCTAACCAATCTTATATGAGGCACGGAATGAACTGATAGTAGGTTAACAGCGAGCTCTGCTCACATCTGGAGATTTATTACAGGTTTGGTTGCATGGCTGGGGGGAGAAGGTCTTTTTATACTTACAAACTGAATAGTTGCATTAGTCTTCAGATGTACTCACCATATTAGATCAGTGAATCCTTTGTGCTGGTGCATGCTCGGAGAGGAGCTGTTTAACATGGAGAGGATGCACTCCAAGTAAAGAAGCTGAAGTTGCCGATTGTCACTGGCAAAGAGAAAAGATGCCATTCACGTCACAAAGATTATTTAATTTTCTAAAATAACTACATTAGTTCACTTGAAAAAATATACCGCAGTTTACAGCAGTGATTTATTTTGATTCTTCCTATGGATTTACAATGGTGTGATCACTTTTATCATCCCATTTATTTTGTACTGACCACATGCAGCTATCTGCTACTTTTTGTAAGTAATAGTTTAATTAATCAAACTTCAGAGTGAGGAATTAAAAAAAAATCTATGTGAAAAAAAGAGGAAGAAGAAAACAGAAATAATTATTCAAATTCGGTCTAAAAACTTGAGGAGGAAGCAGCCCTTAAACAGAGGAAAAGGAGACAACCAGAAGATTTTGGACTATTGGATAGTTTCTTCAGGCAATCTGAAGGGCATTTAGGCTGCTCTCATCTGGTTATATTTTCTCTTTTCTTGGTGACAGCCACAATGGTCAAAAGTCAATGTCTACAGGCAGAAAGTCGCATGATGACATGGCTACCTTTCAGGGCCTTGCCGGTTACTCTGTCAAAACCATAAACACAAAGTGAGCTTCATGAGAAAGAATGTGAAAGATCCTGTGGACACCTGGAATTGATGCACTTGTAACATACAATGTGCTTGTACCTACTCTCAGAATTAGCTGCAGGATTCAGGAGACAAGCAAGGCTGAGGTCTGCCTTATGAAAGGAGTTCCCCATGCCAATTGCACTCACATTCTGGTTTTCATTCCTAAGACGACTAGGATTTAATCATTCTTTTTTGGCCCAACATGAGAGCTGGATGAATGTATTTTCTGATGTATTATGGTAGGTAAAGGAAGCTGTAAAGAATGGATTTATCTTAACTGAAATTAAGGAATGAGTGGTTAAACATTGGAACAGGCTGCCCAGGGAAGTGGTTGAGTCCCCATCCCTGGAAATATTTAAAAGACGTGTGGATGCGGCACTTAGGGACGTGGTTTAGTGGGCATGGTGGTGTTGGGTCGACGGTTGGACTCGATGATCTTAGAGGTCTTTTCCAACCTCAATGATTCTATGATTCTAATGAGAAATGTCTGCTCTTCCGTCACTGCCTGAATTCCTTTTGTTCACATAAATGAATTTTCATCCAAGTTCTTTTCCAATTAATGATTCTATGATTCTAATGAGAAATGTCTGCTCTTCCGTCACTGCCTGAATTCCTTTTGTTCACATAAATGAATTTTCATCCAAGTAGAACAGTACCTGTTTCACATGCCATGCAGAAAATAAGGAATCCCGAGGCTTGAAGCTAGGTTTCTAACTCTGTGCTATGGAGGGTTTAAAACTGCTGGCTGGTTATATATTTTAGAGGTGATAGCCTTTTCCTCACAACAGTCCACACCCATCTGGAAAGATACACACATTCCAGATACAATTGCCTTCTTTCCTGACAGCTTTTCTTACAATGCGTCTTAATGCAGATCATCAACATCTTGCAGTTGACACTTGCATGGGCATGCACAGGGCATCCCTGCACTCTTGATTGCTCTGATGCCTCTTACTACCAAATTGTTTTCCTGTGGTAAGAAATGAACATTGCAGTCCTGCACACCTCAGCGTAGCTGAGTGTGTTCGTATCACTGCTGCCACAAATTCCAGAGTCACCAAAGTCACCAGTGGCCCCGAGAAAAAAATTCTCCTCCCTGAACTCTTCCTCATCACTCATAGCTGTGCCTCCCTCAAAACCAAATTCTAAAAAGCTTGACATTTAGGAGGACTTAAAGTAATCTTCAGACTAAGGAATCAGAACAGGCAGTATAGCATACTAAAACCTCACTTCACTGACCTGGAGGTTAGAAAGTTAAGTTGCTGCCAACAAAGTGTTTTGAAGGAGATACCAAAATTGGCCTTGAAAGAAATAAAGGCTTTTCATTCATGGAGTTAGTTCTTTAACAAGCCATCCTAATTAAATTTATTTTCCTCAGATTCAACCAGATTCCTTTACTATGCTTTGTACATAATTAGAGATCCTAACAGTCTAGGTACATAATTACAAGCATGAAGTAAATCATGGCTCAGCAAGTATTTTTAAGTCCTCTGAATTTCTTATTGTACTTTATCTACAGCATGCCTCAACCTGTTCTAATTCAGTACAGTTTTATGGGGAGCTGGGATTGTAGATCTTTTTTTAAAAGACTTTAGTGATTTTGAGAGATCCTGTCAGGTAGTTTAGTTTTGATATTTCATAACCAGTAATTCAAAGTGATTATCATTTGGTGGACAATACTTATCAGATGATAGCTGTTTATAGCTTTACATGTGGGCAAAATTTGATACAAAGAATTAATCTTTCAGCTGGTTTTGCCACTTGCTATTGTTAGAGACACACTTTGAAAATCTCTTCTTATTGTCCTGTAACTATGCACACAACTAAGAAAAAAAGTTCCTTTACAAGATTCAGAAACATGCTTTTGTTTTCCCAAATGCTGTCACTGATTAAATAATGCTAAGTAAGGCACTCTTCCCATTCAAATCTTGCTGTAATTAGAGACACTCATGGGAGGAAAGTCTATAGAAGAACTGCACACAAAGATGTCTGTGCTGTCTTCGGCTCTGGTAGCTCCTAAGCCATAGACTTTCTGAAAATGGTAGAGCACATAAAAGGAAGTACCGACGCATGCTTGTTTTGTATTTCTCCCATTTCCCCGAGTTCATCACAGGCTACTTTCAGAGACATACAGTCCAACCAAAGAGACAACGTTATGCTACATTTAAAATAGTTTCAGATTGGCTTTTTCGCTACCACTCAGGTGATTTGCAACTGGCAGTAGTAGCAAGTTAAATCTTATTTTACTGATATAGAAACAATGTCGTCAAGAACGAACTTGTTTTTCCCTTAAAACTTTCAAAGTATTTCCAGCTTGCTATATTTCTAGCTTTTAAATAATTGCTGTATAATGTTTGCATTGCTTTTAGCCAGTTTGTCACCTCTAACACTTCAGGCTTTTTTTGGCTCATTTCTTAATAGACCATTAGTTGAGCCATGCTAGAATGCCACAGGAAGTAACTTTTAACTCATGACTAAGTATTTACTGATACAGTACTGGCCAACAAGAGACTCTAGTATTTTAATGCAGTGTAACACCCTACGACTGCCCATAATAACGGCACTTTAAAAGTCAGGCTCATGCATTTCCAAGTAGGTAGAGTGTATGATATTCCTAAATTTAAGGAATGCTTTGGTAATGCAAATTATTTCAATTAGATAAATGCTGCCTTTCTAAGAAGGACATACTAATTCATTCTGCATATTAAATGTTTCTGTTAGGTTTTTCCCTGTCTCTTGTAATTGTTGTTCTCTCTACAATGGTTGCTTTCAAGCCAGAAAAGAGAACTTCTCCTTTGACAAGTATTTTGCTGCTCTGTGGGAGTTACTTATAGATTAGATTTCCTGGAAGCTCTTTAAAGCTGAACAGTGCACAGAGAAGGCAAATCAGCTTCTCATCTCAAGTGATGATTAAATTAATGCATCATGAACAATACTTCCTCTAATAAACACTTCATTTCAGCACAGCTTTGCTCCATAATCCCAGAACTACAAGAGTACAAACACATGTATCAGTGACACTCTGAATCTCCAGGTAATAAATTCAAATTATAAACTGAAATAACTCACTTTATGACAGCCTGGAGCTTCTCACAGAGCACAGTGAGGACAGATACAACATCATCACAAAGCGACTCAGCTGAAGTACCTCCAAAAAGGACAAAGATCAAAGGCATTACATATGTGCAGCTGGATTACAACCTCAGATCACTGCATAGACTTTCAGAGTTGGTTGGAGCTTCTAAACAATGAGCAGGGCTGCCAAAATTCATAGAGAAGATGCAGTAGGAAAAGTCCTAGACTGGAAAGTGATCTCCACACAATGAAAAAGCAGTAGTGTTAAATCCGGAGAGAGCATCGATTGCTTACACACATTTACAGAAGATCAGCTGAAATCCAATTCAGATAATAAAATAAGTATATAAATAAATAATAAAAAAGGGACTGGCTCCAGTACTTCTACATGGCAGCTAAAATTTCTGTATCTCTCCCTGTAGTTTGTCTCTGCTACACAGCTTCTGATGTCTGACCAGGTCCTGAACTTAACGGGACGCTTGTGCACTTCAAAGATTTTAGCCTCCATCCACACAAGTTCTCCTGCAGAAATCCAATGAGAAGATCAAAAGCAGGGATTATTTTTACCTATCAGGGAAGATGGTGGAAGTTAACCCAGAATAGGAGTAGGAAGAATTCTCTTGTAAAATAATAATTTGGCAAGCGTGAACACACCTTTGCTAGTGATGTGCTTTCAAAAGCTGCCGTTATACAAACCGCATCTCTGGCCTGAAATACAATAACACAATCATTTCCAGATTCCACATCCTACTCTATGAATCTGTTTCAATTTAGGAAGTAAAGCCACTTACTAAAACTTTCTCCAGAGCACTGAAACTCCTTAATTACAGAAGTTAGCACCTTGAAACAATCATTTATTACTATGTTGAGTGCAATGCTGTTACCATGGTCCAAATGAAGACACAACTGAAAATACCAGGAACTAACAGGGCTGTCTCAGTTCTTGCCACAGGTAACATCAAGCTATGTAGAAGGTAAGAAATCCTGAAGATGTAATTCCTGTGACATCAAACAGTACTGTGCTGATGAAAGGAAAGTGAAGAATAAAAAAGCTGGATTGGAAGGAGTCACTAAAAAAGTGGTACAAATACCTTGAGTCTTGAATTTCTGCAAGGCGTCATGGTTTTCAATTGTCTGTTGAGGAAAGACAACAGTGGTGTAATCAGTGAAAGCAGTAGAAAAACACTGTAAAAGCAGTACTTTAACAGCAGAGCTTTCTTAACAAATCCATGTCCTCTATCTGTTTTGGGTTTTTTGTTTGTTAGGTTTTTTTAAGTGAAGCTTTTGCATAACATTTTCAAAAATTCCTTAAGATCTGTTTTAACAGTCATTTAGATTTAAGGAACTCACATCTCATTGAGCTGAACTAGGATTTGTAAGTCCGTAAGGGATTTCCTACACCTAAAAAACCTCAGTAATAACTAGGCATGTAGGTCTCACTGAAAATAACTGAGGAAAGCATAGTCTGGATTTCACAAAGTACTTAGAAACCAAAATCAATTGAGTATTAGAGCGTTTATCACATTGTCATCGTTAATGTTACAGTGCCAACACAATTAATGGCAGTCAGGAAATGGAAATGACCTCTTACATCATTTGGTTCAGCTGCGGTATAGGATTCTTCCTATCAGTGCACTAAGGGTCAAGCCAAATTCTCCTCTCAAGCACCAACAACAAACTACCAGGAACTAAATGCAGCTCTCATACTTTCACCTACTCCTCAGCTAAGAACAGAACTAACAAAATTCAACTTTCAGACCCAAACTGAAATATCAAAACTACTGTTTTTGGCTTGTTTTGGGTTTTTTTTGTTTTTTGGGTTCTTTTTGTAAATGTTTTGGCTAGTAAAATTAATCTACTTAGCACAGACAGAAGATAGGTTTAAGTAAATTGATTAATTCTGTTCTGCAGTTGCTCATTAGGATAAAAGTAATCTAGTCTAATAGTCCAAAATAGAATTGATCATTTTAACCCAAAACAGATGTAAGGAAAATAATCTGTACAACTACAGTCCTTAAAATTTCCTAATAAACAGAAACTGACTTTTACAAATAGTACGTTTTTGATAATACGATAATATACAAAGCAGCACGGACGAATGTAAGAAGCCAATGTAATATCACATGTGCCCAGAACATTTACAGTTTTGCTGACAATGTGCTGGGATTTCATCCAAACAGCTCTCATGGATTTTAATAATGCAATAAATAGAATATATTTTTTTGCTAACAGCCAAAGACTTTAATAAACTTAAATTATCTTCTACAAAAAAGTAGAAGAAAAACCTCAATTACACTTTCCTTAGTTGAGCATTTGTTTTGATTATTTGTCATGCAAAAACTTTTGGCAAGTGGATTTCAGTGAACCTCAGGAAAACACGCAAACAAAATAAAGAATGGAAAAGGAAAAGGCCAAGGCAGCCTGACATCAGAACAAAGCCTCTTTTGTTTAATGGAAGGAGAAAAAAAATAATCAGCCAAGTAGAGCTGACAACGTGAGAGCTGCGTTTCCAACAGACTACTCTGAGGCAGGCGCGGAGTCAGAGCCCAAAAAAGCTTTTTAACAGGATTAATTGTGGAAGTGTCAAATAAAAGCCATAAGGCACAACAAGCCAGTACAAGACACTGCAGCCATGGACGTGGAACCATTTGTTGATGCCAGAAGGCTCACCATATTTTCTTGCTTTTGTCGTAACTGTAAAGTCAAGTCACTCAACATTTGGCTGAGGGTTGCCCGCACAGCGGTGTTAATGCTCCGCTGGTGACAGCTAGATACATATGTCTCAATGCAAACCTGATGAGGAAACAAGATAGCAGTACATAGATATGAACTGTAACTTACCAGTAACACATTTTAGGAGGATACCAAGGTCTCTCGCATGCAGATAGTCAGCCTTCCTTACTATTTCATATTGCTTTATTAGCACATAAAAAGTTTTCAGCAACATGGAAAACCGAGTAAGTAGCATCTAGAAGCAGCATGCAATTCATCAGTTAGTCTCACAGCTGCAGGAATGGTAAGGCAAAATTGGCAAAGTCTTCCTTCCCCTTCTGTCAAACCCAAGTGATTTTGGCACTTGCCTTGCTCTGTAGATAGTTCCTTCCCTAAATGCTGCCTCGATTGTTCATTTCTAGATACTTATTTGTAACTATCACTCTGCAAGTCTGTATCTGCAATGTACATACCCTCCAATTCTTTAAGGTTGTTGCTTCTGTTGTATAGGTATTTTCCAGTTTTTCTATAACTAATTGTTACATACTGCAGCACATCTGAAAGCCTAATACAGAAAATACAATGTGTTTTACCATAAATAACACAAATAATTGCCTTTTAATAACTGGCAATCAACCCGAGGGCTCCTCAGCTCAGAGATCCCACAGGAGCCAAGGTAGCAATGAAGAACACTGATGGATCATCCAGTTCCCAGCTCCATGCCCAGCTGCTCGCAGTTTTTTGACACTGTGCTGTGACCAGAGTTGTGCTTGACTTTTGCCCCCAGATGATGTTACACAAATAGTCACCAAAGCATAATGCAGCTAGGATCCTGGGGACAGCACACTGCAAAATGCAGTTTCTATCCCTGATCAGCTTTTCTGTGGGAGGTGTTGGTCTCTGGAAGAGCTGCTATAACTGTAAAAACCACTGTAACTACTGCACAGTAACTACTAAGTGGCTAACAGTCTTGATGGAGCTGAGTGGGTTTGCGACAGCAATACAATCTTCTCAGACTGTGACCCGAAGAAGCAGTTTTGGTCCTTTGACCTACACTGAGTTTTATCATTAACAATGACCGTAAAAGAAAAGTAAATGACTATTCACATACTTTCCAGTCTTTGTGGTTTTATTTTGCCATCATTCGGATATATAGCTAGTGAGAAGAACCATGAATATAGATTAAACTAGCTGTGGGGAAAAAAGTAATTAAAAAAAAAAGTGTAAATTATATGCATGAAGAGTATACATAAATGCATCTGGTGTATGTTTTCGAATGAGAAGGATATTACACAATGTAAAGCCAATTTTATAGTTCCCTAACAAGGATGAGTTTTTAAGAGGGGAAAAATAGAAGTGATCTGATTATATAGGCTAATCAGTACTGACACGGGCACATGGACAAGACTTGATAGTTTCTAACTCGTACTGAAATGAAACCAAGCTATTCCATTGACTAAGAAAGAAAGGCTGTAGGCTTGAGGCTATAAAGTTTACGATGAACATGTTGCTGGCGCATTTCTGCATTTGTTAAGAGTGGAAAACAACATAGGTATGTTCCTAAGACCTTTTTGACCTCCTCACTTTGGGTGACCTCACATCTCAGCATTTCAATAAAGCCATGAGTACAAGAAAGCATGACTGAGTTTCTGGGATACAAACTGTATCTTAAGTGAGTGATCTAAGACGTCACACATGGAAGCCACTTTATTATGGCTCTTGCCTTATTTGCCTTATTTTCCCTTATTTCCCAACTACACTGAGAGATAGCATTCCAAAGCTTTTCAAGTGTATGTATATCTCTCATTATCTCATGCTAGAAACACTATGCAAATGACATGAAGTGAGCCTGATTATCTCCTTTGACAATACACTAGAACAGGTTACAGTTGAATGCATTTGCAGGATGTAAGGGACCAAATCAACAACGTATCTCTTTCTTGTTGCCCTTTTTCAAGATTCCAAGATCCCCCAAATAATAACCCCCCAAAATAAGGGATTTTATTTAGCTTGAGATCAATCAGTCAGTGATGAAGATGGTCTTGTAAGTTAAAAGAAGGCCTGGACCAGCTCTGCCCATCATTCAGCTATCACCTGAACTCCAGTGGACAAAAATCCCTAAAGCCTGTTAACCATGTACAGCCCTTTGCAGAGACCAAACCATTCCAGTGCTGCTGAGATCATTCTCTTGAGCTGTAAGTCTTTTTCTAGAGTACCTGAATTAATTGATGAAATACCATTCTTAGAGGTAGGCTGACTTTCTGGAAAGAGCATGGTTGATCCCTCCTTTTTCTCTCCCCTCCCCATGCTGGCTAATGACCAACAGTACTATCCACTTGAGCTCCGATCTTACAGAAGGCCTGTGTTCTAAAATGGCTGGGCAAGGTACCTTTTGAAAAGCCATTGATGAAGAAGCACCAGTAAAAATGCAAGAGCTCAGGGCCCCGAGGAGGTGTGCAATGGACATTTTGATCATTTCATGCATTCGGGGACTTCCAGCTCTATGGCATGCAAAACACAACTAAGAGCAAAACACAGAAGGGTTAGCCAATGAAACACAACAGAGTCAAACAAAACAAACCTCCAAAAGGTAGATGGGAGTAACAAAACACACATAAAACCAAGCAACAGTCAGAGCATAAACTAAATTTTCTTGCAGGGGTTTAGGCAAGCATGGGAAGGTGCACACAGCAAGATTTAGTCTGTTTTCAATACTTAAGCCACAAAATATAGTACTCCTCATGTTGGATGCTTCTGTAATTTGAAGCTGATAATATTCAGAAAGATTTGGAGTGCCATTATTTTTTACAAATGAATTGAGAACAATCAGGCAGAGCAAAACGGCCAGACTGTATCCTTGTTTGTCAGAGAGTCCTCAGAGAGTTCTACCAGTAACACAAGCAGCACCTTTTCAATTCTGCAGTGACTCCACTTTGCTACAGAGGGTGGGTTAGGAAAACTAAGGGACTGACTTGGAAAGATACGCCAAATAGCAGAGCAGAAAGCTCCTCTCCGCCACCTTTCCCTTAGAGCAAGTCAGAACAATAAATGCTGAGGCTAAGGAAATGCTGAACTCAGAAATAACTTTCTGTTTCCTGCTGTTACAGAATTCAGATACAAAGGCATATTGAGTCCAGCTGTTATAGCCTTTGCCTTACCTAAAACCTGGCCAGGAAGAACCTGAGGAAGCATGTATGTGCCTGGCGGGACTTGCTAATTAGAAAGACCTAGGCATTCACCGAGGCAGTATTTTCTCGACTTGCATGGGGAAAATAGCTGTAACTCCAAACACACCAAATACAAACACACATGCTCTGTATTACAGCTTGTTCCAATTCCCTGAAGGAAATGAAAGTTTTGTTTGCTTTCTGGCACATCTCATCAGCCTGCATCAGGGCTTCTGTTCATTTTAAAAGAAAAAAGACAAACTATCATTGTGCTAACGTGTACCACTACACTAGCAAAGGTTTTTAAGAGCCAGGCTAGCCGTTTGGGAATGAAAGTGAAGTGCAACTACCAAGAACAGCAGGGTTTAACTCCACTCTATGAAAGAAAACTGCCATTTTTCAGGATGCTTTAAATGAATAACAGGCCTATTGTTATCCAAATTTACAGAGAGAACAGAAAGTATGATTTCTGATACAGCTTATAGCACACAGACCATGACCGATGGACCATTTTCCCACAGTCTTAGGCAGTGCTCTTAAAGACTGAAATCTGAAGGGTTTAGAGCCATTAAATGCTTTTCCCAGTTAGTATGTTGTCTAAGCTAGAGCTCTTTAACTACAGCAAAGAGATGCACTAAGCTGAATTCATCAGCTTTTGCCTTCCATGTTAGAAAACCTGCTAGGAAAGACTGCAGCAGGGGAAACTATCTGTATTTTCTTCAGTTTGGGACACTGACCTAAAGAAGGTTTAGTAAAACTTAAAAAGCTGTGGCTTGCTCTAAATACCAATTCAGTTCATCCTTGCTGCAGCATCTACAGGTGGGGCTTACAAAAACTTCCAAATATAGCCAAACCTTATGGATTTGGAAAATATAGCCTAGCCATACCGATTTGGAAGTCTCGCATAGCACAAGAGAAACCAAAGTCTAAGCTGTGCACGACATCTGGAATGAATACTACTTTTTTTTATCCTATACATGTTATACACACAAACTGTTTATGTTGTATCCCTGCCTTTTAAAGCCCTTTTGTTACAAACTGGCAGCTGTTTTCTTTGGTTCCCTGTTATCCCATTCTCAGCTTCCAAGGGACAATGCAAGGTCAATTTTATTCCTAAACTTAGAAAATACAGTGGTAAAGTTAGCTTATTTTTACATGGGGCTTTTCTTTTTTACAAAATACCAAAACCTGAGAAGGAACACATCTCTAAATGTCTACATACACTTGCAGTATAGGACATGTATATAACCTTTACATTGCTCCATGGACATTAGGTCTCCCCATACCACATTAACAATATAATTTTATAACATATCGTGCACACAACAGCGCATGCTGCACAGGAGGATTAAGTGTTCCTGTGCATCTTCTCTAACCTGAGCAAACAGCCTCATGGCTTGCTACACGCTGTACTAAAAATATCACCCATCTACAAAGGCTCACTTAACAGACCTGCAGGTATGTTTTTCTACAGCCAAAGCTCCTTTGCAATTTAATTCAGACTAAAATCTAATGGAGTAAAGGGAGAAGAGTGACTAATAGCACCAGGACAACACCATATATTTAGAGGTGTAATAAATTTTTTACTTGGATGTATTAGGAAAGAGATACACACAAGGCTAACAAGGCACATCGTGGCACTTGTGCTAACATGGCACGTTATAGCCTACACACCTCTCTTGAGGAAACTTCATTAGTTTTAGACTTGCACCAGGTAAGGAATCAGCACAATGCCGTGTTATAAAGAACTCAAGGGAATTTTTTTATTGCAAAAGGCAAAGCAAAGTAAATATGAGGAGTAGTAAATACGCAACATGGTAGTATACAATTGTCAGTCAGTTTCCAAAAGTGCCTTCCCATGCAAGCCCAACAGCTCTGCCCAACTTGCAGCTATTTCTTCACACTAGATGTAAGGTAATACCAGTCCTTAAGATGGTAATTGTGATTTGAACTCGTTCAGTTTCAGGGTATGTATGGAAGACACACTCTAGGTAGCGGGGGAACATTAAGTGACACAAGCAATAGTACAACAGAAGCACTTACCTCAGCAATCTTCAACACTGAACTCCCATTCAGCTCAAATGTGGAGGTATATGTTATACAGAGCAAGACCTTGAATCAAGAAAGGGAGGAAGGAAAAAAATTAAGGTTCATCTGTTACTGCCTCCCTTCCCCACCCATGTGCTTTTAGCCACAGCTCCTTCCATTTTTAAAGCAGACATCAGAAGCTTCTTAGTACCACGTGTTACTGGGATAAAGGAGATAGCACAATCAAGTCGCACAATCAAGTTGCTTCCTCCTGAGAAGTTGCAACTGTTGGCCCCAGAGGTACAGCTCAATGGACAATTTATTACTGTCTCCTACGTCTGACCACGGAACGAAAGACAATCCAGTGATCAACTCTGGCCTTGGACTCAACAGCCAGAATCCATTCATATTTTATCCACAAGCTTTGCATGATTTATAATCAGTCCTTCCGTTCATTTCTATCAGTATAACAAAGGAGGAAGGAAAAAATGCATACAAGTTATTACTTAGGTGACACAGATACATACGTATTATGTGAAACAAGCCATTAATTACTGTTTGACATGAGGACTTCCCAGCCTAGGATATTCCCAATAAGTGTATTGTAGTCACCTGATAACGAGCAGCTAAAAAACAATTCATAAGCCCCAATTCATGAGGGAAGGCTTGTCCTGTCTTGAACTCAGCAGGAGGAATAAGAACTAAAAACCCCGTCCAACACCTTACTTTGAAGAGAAGGGGAGTGGGAATGTGATGTGATGTGATCTACCAGGGGGTAGTGTGGTGGGCGAGTGGGGAAATGTGGTGAGAGGTGCTGTGGTGTAATGCCTTTAGTGTCTGGATATGTCCTCCCTCCCTCCCCATCTCCCTTTCCAATCCCTCCAGCCCCATGGAAGACTGAGAGAGTCTGAGCTACTTACTGTCCTCTCTCCTTCAAAGCATAAAATCCCTCCAGTGCCGGAATTTATGCTTTGCTTGGTCTGAAATAGTCTGAGTTTTTTGGGTTAAGTGTACCAGGAAAATATCAATCACACTAACACTAATGTATTGGTTCCTATAACTTCCTCAGCACCTAAAAACTACTGTTCTCTGCTTCACAAGGCAATTTGGGGCATCAGGTAAATTAGCATTACTGACTGTTAACCATTTCTTTTATTTATTACATACTTCTCAGTGGTACTAGGTTTTTGTTTTATGGACAGGTTCTGTGCCAGCTACCAACACACAACACCCTGGGGTAATCTCCTTAGCCTAGAAAGCAAAACAACCAACCAACTTTGCTACAGTGTGTCTGATCAGAGCTTTCAAATAAACAAACAAAAAAAGGAGGCAAAGGGATGCATGTTTGGGAAGATTATTGACCTTAGGTCCCTGTAAAAGCGTCATTTTTCTAACCTTTTATTGTGTTGTGCAGTTTCCACATTACAGTGGAACAGTAGAAAATTGTAATGTAACAACTTGAAGCAGCAAACTAGATCACCTCTCAGGTGCAAGCTGTATCATCTCTCTAGGTAGTGATGATCTCTAGAACCATCTCAGAGCCTTCATAAAGGACAAAAAAAATGCTGATCTGCGGGTTAAGAGAAGCAGACAATTCCAATATAACACCACTTAGCATGCTGCAGCCACTGAACACCCATCATTACTATTGAATCTCTGCTTGGGAGAATACTCCTCTTTGCAGTTATTTTGCACCAGGGAGGGGGAAAAAAATCCATTACTGGAAAGCAGGCATTTAATAACTGTAGGGGAATTTGAACTCTCCGTACAAGAGAAGCTTTGAGCATTAGTTACTTCTCTTACAGGTACAGACGGAAGAGTCTGTCCATGGATGAGTGTGCCATTTTTCTGGAGAAGGACATTATGGTTCTATGACATAAATAATCCCCTTCGCATTTTGACAGTCAGACTGAAAAGCTTCTATGCACTGAAATGCACTGCATCTTTACAAATGCTTTTCTCAGCATAAAAACTGTATTTCACTATAGGTTGTCACACCTTACTCCAAGGTTGTTTTTGTTTGCTTCTTTGTTTTGTAAATAAAATACCAGTCAGGAGCTTGATCCTATTCTTATGGGAAATGTTTCTACTATAAAAAGTGTCACAAGAAAACCATTACATAATGGCAATTTTACATTTGTCTTTATATGTTATTTTGCCCTGACTCTCACTCAGTCCTTCATAAATGGAAGCTGAGTAATTTGGATAAATACTAGAGAGAACAGAAAAGGGTGTGCTACTCTTCTGAAGTACAATAGTCCTAGACTATAATCTCTTTTTCAGATATTTAGTATTTAGCTTTAGAGCAAAGCAAAGTTTCTGAAACAATTTTCTTCTTCATAGCTTCCCTTTTCTATGAAATCAGCAAAATGGATATTTTCATCTTAAAAGTGTTACATAGCCTACCTCGGTATTACAAGGAGAGATACAAGCTATAGAGCACTAACACTTGAACTTGACAGAGAAGGAAATCCGTTCCTAATTACAAATTATTAAGAATGCTGCACTTCATATTTCTTGATATGAACTCTGCAAACTTCTCTGCAATCTGCTGCATTTGCTGGCACGTGGACAGGTGCCAGTGAGGAGGAACAGTGATACCTTTTTTTTCCTGTCCACAGAACAAATCCTACAGAATAGCTGAAAAGTAAACAGTCAATTATAAAACCCCTCAATAATCTCATTTGGTTAATAAGTACATAAGTTATGAGGGTTGTTATTTCCATCTGCTGCTCAGCCTACACCTGCAGAATTTAAAACTTCAAAACTGAACAATTCTGTTCGGCACGAAGTGAATTCTAGACTATTGGTCAGCCTCGCATCCAGCCATTGGGCCCCACCTTGTCAGCTAGTAACTACCCTGAAATTTTATTGACATTTCTAATAGTTGTAAGAGCTCAGCAGCTGGCTAAAAAAATATAGTCAGTATTTAAGGAAAAACTGTGATTTGTACTCTCCATACACTGCTGTGTAAAACACAGGTGTAGCACACAGTTCATAAACCCAGAGACAGAAAACTGTCACCTCCCACCGACAAATCTCTCCTTACCGTGCTAAGAGCCAAGATGGACAACCAGGCCCATGACTAATCTTATTCAGCAGTTTGTGTGTCCTGATTTTCCCTACTTGTAAAACCTCATTTGCTTTATGTGATTTTCTACTCTCTTGTACCATCTTGGCTTTGTACAGTTTGTTAATACCTAACGCTTTGCACAGATCAAAACCTGGAAGCCATATACTACAATACATGGAAGTACACACCAGTTCAGGCATTCTTCTAAGCCCTTGCTATTCAAAATCTCTTCTCCCCCCCCTTTTTTTTTTTTTTTTTCTAAAATTTCCTACCTTTATAGAGCTGAACTGTGAAAAGTTAGCACATATATGCCTAATCCTTTCTGTCACAAGTGCCAACAACCTGCTTGTAACAGGTGAATGATAGAAAAGTCAGATACCAAGCGCAGTAAGGAAGTGATGATCAAAAACCTTGCTATGAAGCAATAGGGAATTTCAGCAAAAAGACTGCTAAGTTTTGACTGCTACTTTTTGTATAAAATGAGATGCAGGAACCTACTAGCTAGAGAAAGGGCATATGATCTGATGTGATCAAATGACAGAATAATAACAAGTTATCAGCCAGCATACGCTTGGCTTACTCCACTTGCTACTGTCTTCCCTCACAAATCATTTGTGAGATCTGAAAGATGGTCTCTGACCAATGCACAAGACTGCTCTCAGCTATGATTTCCATCAGCGCTGCTGCAGGGCTCATTTACAGTCTTGGCGATGCTCCAGACACTCAACTCATGTGTCTTCCCATTTATGTGGAACAAACTGGAAGACAGCAGGCTTCTCTTTTAGATTACTGGATGAAAAATGGGATTAAAAACAAACAAAACCAAACTTAATCATTCAGATCCACTAAAAACACTGTCTCCAGACAGTATATCCCATAGGCTGCTTAACTACTCATGACACTAACTCAAGCAGTCTGTATTCAAAAAAAATAAAGAAAAGAAAGATAGGTTTTCTTGGGCAATGACATTTTGTGTTTGCAACCACTGGTAGTGGAAGCAGAAACAAAACTACAAAGCAATTCCTAGTAACATCTTCAGTACAAAACAAAATTGAAAACCAGCTTTTACTGTGTGTTACTGTGATGAGATCTTAATTGGTATGGACTCTAAAACACATTTTTTTTTTCTTTTTTTTTTTTTTTTCTTTTTTTTTTTTTCAAGAAGGACCTTACATGACTGTAGAGATAAGTTTCAAAGTCACGCAACCTCCAGGATGTTTTAATTGGCTTGCATTATCTTGCAAATGCCTGGAGGAGATCACATTTCCACAAACATCTTATCCATAATGAAAGTATTCATTTTAATTACTGTTGAAGCTTTGTCATGGAACAAGAAATACAGTTCCTATTCCCTGGAGTCCGAGGGTACCAACTGTAGTATAAGAGCACATGCACAGATAGTTTTCAAAATAAGTAGAAACAAACAAACAAAACAAAACAAAAAGGTGATTCTGATGATATAATGAAGGTCAACTGACACAAAATGTACAGGATTTGAATTGCAATGTAATTAAACTGACATTACAATGTCTATCCCATATTTTAAGAGAAGTCTCTTAAAGAGGGAAAAAGAGGGAACATTTTTAGATTGTAAGACTGCTAAGTGTTGCTAGCCAAGTTCCCCAAGTGCTTAGCACATATTTGTATTAAAAGACAATTCTCACATTGAAGAGCTTATGGTGGAGTCACATCAAATAAACAAGGTGTGTAAGAAACCAAGTAATATCCCCCAAGATGGAGAAAGAGGGAAAGGTACAAAACTTTAAAGCAACTATAACCTGTCATCACCTGAGGATGCTTCAGCACTTCACTGCATTTAAGTGCCAAGTCCAACATCCATATGCTACTGCTATCCTTTTTCTATTTCAGCACTCAAAGTCCCATTGGCAAAATCCTCTGAACATTCATGTTTCTCCTAGTTGGGATGGACATAGACACTTTAGTCCTTAGAGTGCTGAATTTTGCAGCCACCTCTAATCCCTTTGTGGGATTCATAAAGGAAGCCTTTCCT